TAGAGGTGGCTACATACTACTACAACTACTGCTACTACAGAGGAGGGAACGACCCACGGCGTAAAGAGCTTCGGCCCTAAACGGTGAATAATTTAGAGTACTCGGTACTCTACAATGGGAGAGCACTAGCCCGTCCCGTGAGCCCCACATATGATGAGGCATTAGGCGCTTGTGAAGAGGATTCGGGGTACCATATATACTGTGGGCAAGCATGAATGCTCTTGTTCGTTTGTTTTGAAAAAGTAATTAACGATTTAAAGTACTAGGTACTCTAGTATGGGAGAGCTGAAAGCCGTCCCTAAGACCTCCTGAACCAGATGAACCGGCAGCAATTTACTACTGTTTAGAGAAATTTATTCTCACAGACAGTGAACATCAATTACAATCCAACAGAACATTGCGACAGAATACAACATCCACAGACACAACAAAAGTTGTTACAAAAAGATATGTGTACATGTGTAAACGGAACACAACATACACAACTTACCCAACTACACAGGATTTGTTACAAAAACAATGTCTACATATGCACAATACATGGTAAACGAGGAACACACAAATGAAATGTAGAGATCAATATGTCAGATATTCACATAGTATTTACAAGGTATTTATTTGTATGAGTACTAAACAAAGATTAACCTACCAATACCAGGCAGGCATGAAAACAAGCCTTACACGTCTCTCACAGATGAACACAAAACGGCAGGACCAGTGTCGAAGGAATTCCTCCTCACCCAGAAAGAAGAGTTCCTCCGACAACACAGATAGTATTTCTTTGTACAGTCGCTCCGAAATTGGGAAAGAGCATGGCGGCGACGACCTGCTGCTACAGCTTCACAACGGTTACGACAAAGACAGTAGGCACCAGCAACAATAAGAAGGCAAGCAAAGCGGCCTCGAGAACAACGTCCAGAAGAAACGAAGTGGTTTACTCCGAGACCACGAAATTCTGCATGCACAGCCCTCCAGAAGACACGAGCAACGACGCATTGTCTTAAAACATGCTGATTTGTTTCCCGTAGGGAGCAGTTCGGACATGTTGATGACTGGACCATTCTCCACCTTTCTAGGCGGTCAAGGGTAGAAAGAACGCCCCACGCAAGCCGCCACATGAAGTCCCGGAGGTGTCCAGGTAGAAATGAGGCCGTCAGCGTGCTCCAAGGGACACGACTAGAGCGGGTGCGGCGTGCAGGAGGAACTAACGAGAGCAACAACACGGCTGTGTTGTCAACGATAGAATTGTCTAACACATCTAAAATCAGGGCAAGTCGACTGGATATGACGAAAAAACGCGACAGCTGTTGCATAAAACGAAGGAATTACTAATGATTGTGTGCCCTGATTAAGGCGCACATTAGGCAATAAATACCGAAGGTGAGTGCCTAGAAAATAATATACCAGAGTTCGCGCGGGGGATTCCTCTCCTTGTACGAGGCGCAACAGGAAGCGCAGGGCCAATAGCCGGCAGCGTATTGATACCGAAGGGAAAGCAAAACTTCCCTGGGAACGCTGCTGTCCTAACGCCGCACGAGAGACCAACTCAGTGCCACCATACCAAAAGAAGGAACACAACGCAGACTGCAATGACCTCACGATGCGTAAAGGCGGCTGTTACACGTGAGAAAGGTACCAAATGCGACCGCAGAACACAGTCTGCGCAAGGTACCTCCGCTCAAGAAGCGGGAAGTCGAATTCCCGGGTGTTCTCAATTTCTTGTTTTACTTCATCGAGGGTGTTTGACCAAACAGAGTTACAAATGCCGTAGTGGTTGTATAGAATTCCTAAAATGCGAAGAGACGCAGCCGGCTGAAGAAGAGATGTGGACCTAAGTGTGGAGTTGGGATAGCCGATGGACAAATACCGGGATTTAGAGAGGTTTAGCGCGGCACCTGAAATGTCCCCATGCTGGAAGAATAAACGCAGGCTATGAGAAAGACTATCTTCATCTGAAAGGTACAGGGTTATGTCGTCAGCAAAAGCTGTGACTTTTACGGTACTGCTGCCGCGAAGCGCAAGACCCCGGACATGCGAATCTGCTTCTAGAGCACACAAAAATGGCTCAAGGCTGAGGACAAATAGAACAGAAGACAAGGGGCATCCTTGACGGACCCCACGTGTAATAGAAAAGGCAGCACTCTCCCAACCATCTAGAACTAGTGTGCTTTTTATACCAGAGTAGGTATGTCTTATTAATTTAACAAAAGTACCAGGGAAACCAAGGGCTGTGAGCACTTTAAGGATATACGTGTGCTCTAGTTGGTTAAATGCTTTCTCTTGGTCTAAAGAGACAAGTAGACCACGCGCAGATCGCGACAGAGTATAGGCTATGATATCCCGGGTGGTAAAGGACAAACTGTGTATTTCCCGTCCAGGCATAGATGAAGCCTGGTGGTGACCCACCAGGGTGTTCAACAGAGCCTTCAAACGTTGAACGATCACCGTCGCGAATATCATATAGTCAATGTTAAGAAGCGTGATAGGTCTCCAATCTTCAGGATTAACAGAAGAAGCATCACCTTTTGGAATAAGCACAATGCGTTCATCTCGAAAACTTGATGGAAAGACACCATCCTCGAAACATCGCCGGATAACCACGGTTAATGCAGTACCAAGCTCATTCCAAAATGATAAGTAAAATTCAACTGGAAAACCGTCTGGCCCAGGGGCTCTCCCCCGTTTCATAGATTGTAGTGCTGCCTTTACCTCTTCAACTGATGGAGGGACGTGCAGAGAATCAGCAGCTTGTCGAGGAACGCGAGGCAAACCTCTAAGCATAGGCGGTATTATATCACAGTTAGTCCGCATGGCCTAACATGACATCTCTTCAAAATGCGCCAGAAAGAGAGATCGATCACGCTTAGGAAGCGGCTGTGTAGGTGGTGCCTGCATGGTCGTAAAAACAGGTGATTGTGACTGCCCAAAACACGATTGCCTCGCATAGCGTAGCACCTCGGGGTGGGCACAAGGGTTGTGCCTACAACGCCATGCAGCCGCCGCCAGAGACAAGGTGGCAATCAAACGCTGGAAGCGTTCACGTAATTCATGTTTCCAAGCTCGCATCAAGGGAGACGGCGTTTCAGCGCGCAATGCGATGCGTAACTTCGCTGCAGTATCGGCCAGCTCCTCAGAAACGCGACGACGAAGGGAACGACCTTCAACTGAGCAGTGCAGGCGCCACTGCGTTTTAGGCGCATCCCAATCAAATAAATCAGACGCAGCGAGTGACATGCGTATTGCACAGGACAAATTTAGCAAGAGCGCGCGTCCTGGAGGACGCGAACATCAAGACCCCATGGTTTCTCCGAAAAAGAAAATGGAATTTTTAGTTCTAATGGAATCGGACGATGGTCAGAGATGTACACAGGCGAAGGTGGGATGGGCGGAACTCGTAAGTAGGAGACAAACGTCTCTAAAGCATGTGGAATATAAGCCCGGTCGAGTCTGCTGGAGGAGTGTCCGCGGCGCCATGTCTAAACAAAACTATTCCCGTGTATGACATTATGCGCATCCAGCAATGAAAAATGCTGGACGAGGCGTCGCAGCTCACGTGAATTCCAAGCAGACCGACCCCAGCCAGGACCTTGTACATCGCATCGCGTATTTAGCACACAGTTAAAGTCTCCAATCAAAATCACATGACGACCGTATAGGAAAAAAACATCCAAATTTTGAAAAAAATCATTAGACTGTCCGGTTTGTGCAGGCGCATACACACATAGTATCCTCATTCGAAAAGAAAAGTAGGTACAATCTAGAACAATAATTCTATTGACGCCGTCATAAACAACATTGTGACCTCTCAATAAAGCCCGATTAAATATAATGATGCCTACTCCCGTAAATGAGTTGTAGCGAAAGAAAAATAGCAATCTAAGTTAAACTTTTGTTTAAAAGCCCTAACGTCGGATAGTGAACAGAAATTAGTTTCCTGCAGGCATAAAACATCAGAATTTGCAGCACGGGCTACACTAATCACCTTGGCCTGCCTTACCGGACTACGAAAACATTTTACGTTGAAGGAAATAATATTCAATGCAGTAGCCATCGTAAACAATAAAGACAAATTTGGATACTAGACTCACAGTTCTGACAGACGCGGGAGCGGGTGCCCCGCAAGCAGCTCAATCACTTCTTACGACCAGGCGACCCACCGGAAGCGCGGGGCTTCCGGAGCCGCATCGAAGTCTGCAGGGAAATTCTGTCTCTGCTGGGGGCCTCCGAGTCGCTGCTGGATATTCGGTGGTGCTTGGTGCTGAGGCTCTTGAGTGAAGATGGCACTAATTCGTCAGAACTGTCCCGACTGATCTCGCTTGGAGTGCTGTCGGTGTCTATCTGCAGGGCCGTGTCGCTCCTAGTACTACTCGTGTCCTCGTTGATGGAAACCTCGTCACCTTGGGACAAAGTCTCTTCAATGATAGGAGGACTAACAGACGACTGGGCAGCCATGGGGTGAGCAATGGATATCACGTCAGCATCTGCGACGCGTTCGCCGAGTGGCGCCTCCTCTGGTGAGGGCTCGACCTGTTGTTCTGTGGGAACCACCACTGGTCGCGGGCCGCTAGATGGATCATCCGCACCTTGAGGGGCTGCCTGGTCGGGGCTGGCTAGAGACGCTGTGGGCGTTTGGTGTGGCGTCTGGTGTGGCATTGTGATGCACCCAACTTCGTCCTGCAAATATCCGGGCCTAGCGTCAATGATACGACGTCCTTATTCTTGCCTGATTGAAGTGGCGGGTAATTCTTAAATGCCGCCTCGGAATACGATGGCCTGATGGTGCAGGCGACGGTGGCATGCGGGTCCCCACAACGGCGACACGGCAGCGAGCAGCCCTTCCCGTCGTGGCCGTAAACTTCGCACCTTCCTACAAAACGGAGCTGTGCAATTCATGCGGAAGTGCCCGCTGTCTCCACATCGACGGCACACTGGCTGGATCCCTTTATAGTCACAGGTCACTCGATGGCCAGCGACCTTGACGTAGTTGGGCACCGGCGATGATGTCTTCACTTCCTATCCGGACGAATCGTGTCCCAGTGGTCACTGGTTGGGCGCGATCCCATGAGTCCTCTGCTGATGTGCAGCACCTTCCCATATTGAGACAATGCTTGCGCGAGGACCTCGCTGGGGACGCGACACAGCAGGAACATAACGGTGACTTGAGTGGCTTGGGGTTCCAAGGGTACGACAGCAACGCGCTCTCCACTGATGATGAGGTGGGACGCGTAGACGATTTGAGCCAGAGCAGCGTCAATGTTAACTGTGACTTGGTAATTCCGGCCTCCAAAGTGCTGTACACTGTAGACCTCTTCGATTCCTACTATTGAAGACGTCGCGTCAACGACGTCTTCGGCACTAGTCCCCTCGGGGACGACTACTGTCGAAGGCTAGTGCCTTCTTCGGGGGCTGGCTTGCCATGACGGGCTGTCCGCCAGCCCAGGGACGCCCTGAGACGCTAACGACGACAACGAGGAAACACGAGCACGAGCTCGTGTTCTGCACCTTATGGCGTGGCTTGTGCGTCCCTCGTAGTACATAACCACAGCGTAACCCACGGCGTAAAGAGCTTCGGCCCTAAACGGTGAATAATTTAGAGTATTCGGTACTCTACAATAGGAGAGCACTAGGCCGTCATGTGAGTCCCACATATGATGAGGCATTAGGCGCTTGTGAAGAGGATTCGGGGTACCATATATACTGTGGGCAAGTATGAATGCTCGTGTTCGTTTGTCTTGAAAAAGTAATTAACGATTCAAAGTACTCTACTAGGTACTCTACTATGGGAGAGCTGACAGCCGTCCCTAAGACCTCCTGAACCAGATGAACCGGCAGCAATTTACTTCTGATGAGGGGGGGGGGGTTAGAAAAAGTGGATAACGATTTAGAGTACTTGGTACTCTACTATGGGAAAGCGTAAAGCCGTCCCGATAACTTCACGAGAACTTAACGTGAAGGAGCAAAACTCCGTACCCAGCATTAAAGCTATCTACCGTTATGCAGTGCACAGGAAAGCACTCCAATGTTTACGATGCCACAGGGTGCTCTGGCTACTAGCCACATCGCTTACAAATGTGTGAAACAGTCATAACATAGTACTTTATTATTCCTATACAAGCAAACAACGATCGCAAGAACAATAAAACTTTTTATTACAGAAAATTATTTTTGCCGAATTTTCATCGCTTTGGGGTTAGTAAGGTTCGCGAATTTTCTCCGCTCATTGAAAGAGATGAACGAAGCACCGGGTCACGCAAAGGTGTGCCACGCACGAAAAATTGGCAGCATATCCACGGAGTGAATGATGGAGAGTGGGGCGAAGCATTCGTCCGTCCATTCGTTCTTGCTTCCGTCCGTCCATGCGTCCGTCTGTGTGACCATCCATGCGTCCATGCGCCCGTCCGTGCGTGAGTCTGTTCGTGCGTCCGTCCCTGCGTTCGTCCATGCATCCGCCCCTGCGTCCGTTCATGCGTCCATCCATGCTGCTGCCTGTGTGTCCGTTCGTCCATCTATTCAACACTCCAAGTACCACCATCTCGCATCTTTTCATCATATATTCCCAGTATAGAAGCACCGCCATCCTGTGGACATTTCAAGGACTAAACGAGAGGTGGCACACGCACACTTTCTTACGACTTGCACTTCGTATCTACATCCCACGTTTAACCACCTCGAGTTCATATTATATACTAGTTCATTGTATTCATGGCACTGCGGATCAACGCTCGCTAAACCTTTTTAAAACTAAGGAGGTTACACCCAGCGAGTATAATGTAGCAACCCTTTCTTGTCAGATAGTGCTCAATGTACATGCCAATGGCTGCTAATGGGTATCGCAGCATGCGCGTTAACTGAAAGCTGAATTCTCTTGTCTCTCATTCCCCATTAGCAGCCATTTGCATGTACATTGAGCACTATCTGACAAGAATGGGTTGCTACGTTACACTCGCTGGACGTAACCTCTTTGGTTTTAGTAAGGTTTAGCGACCATTGGGCTGCAGTGCCATGAATACAGTGAACCAGTATATACCATGAACTCGAGGTGGTTAAAGGTGGGAAGGTAGACACGAAGTGCAAGCAGTAAGGAAGTGTGCTTGTGCCACCTCTCGTTTAGTCCTTGGAATGACCGCTGGAGGGCGGTGCTTCTATATGCGGAATGTATGATGAAAAGATGCGAGACGCTGGTGCTTGGAGTGTTGACTAGATGTACGAACGGACACGCAGACAGATGCATGGACGGGCGCACGGATAGGCTGCACAGATGGATGGACGGATGGACGCATGGACGGACACAGGAGTGGATGCATGGACGAACGCAGGGACGGACGCACGGATGGACGTGCGGACGCACGAACAGACGCACGCACGGACGGGCAGATAAACGCATGGACGGACGGAAGCAAGAACGAATGGATGGACGGATGCTTCACCCCGACTCTCCAGCATTCACTCCGTGGATATGCTGCCATTTTTTCCTCTTCTGAGGAACCACTCACTCACTCCCTCACTCACTCACTCACATTTTCTCAACTTCTCCTCCTCGTCCACTCGTAGATTGCTGCCGTACACAACAGCTATCAGTAGTGTCTTAGTAGTGAAATAGGGACACGCTCGGTGGGTTTCATGCTGAACAATTGTGTCGTCCCTGATCTCCTCGTGGCTGCGTAGCTCTCGCTGATTGGTGCCCGTTCTCAAACTCCTCCGACTTTGTCCCCCCGTCTCCCTATCTCTTGTCTACTTTGTTTCTGTCGCTCCTACGCGGCGAGGGCTCTCTCTTCTTTATCTTTCTATTATAAAATGCGAAGCATTTCTTGGTGAACTTCGGCGACTTTGAGCGTATCTATCTATCTATCTATCTATCTATCTATCTATCTATCTATCTATCTATCTATCTATCTATCTATCTATCTATCTATCTATCTATCTATCTATCTATCTATCTATCTATCTATCTATCTATCAGCCACCTACGACATTTAGCTCTCCTGGCCATTTCGATTATGGTATCGATACCAAACTTGGTATGGCATAACATGACTGTATGAAGAACATATTTGACTAGTCATAGCAAGAAAATCATAAATTGTATGTCGTGAATGTCATAATTTACATTTCATGGTCCTGCAGCTCTTGTGGCGGTTTTGTTCACAAGGCATGTTGCAAAACTGGTACGGTATGGCATGATTGCTTGGCGAACACAATTCTCAGACCCTAACATGAAAATCATGAGATGCGTACGTGGCACGTAACAACATGACTACATGCCGTGCTCATTTAGCGCTCGCGGCCGTTTCACTAGGATCACAGACAACAAATTTGGTATTGCGGTACGTGAATGAATGACAGTGGTATGTGACTGGTGCAAACATGATAATCATGAGATGCCGCATTATGTAACAACATGACTACAGCCCACGCTCATGATGCGCTGGCGGCCGTTTCGCTAGCTTCACGTGTACCAAACTCAGTATTACGCGACGCGAACTGACGACATAGGTAAATGACACATACAAAGATGATAATCACGACATGCGTATCATGTAACAACATGACTACATGCCACACTCATGATGCGCTCGCGGCCCTTTCGCTAGCTTCACGTATTCCAAATTTGGTATTGCGTGACATCAACGGATGACGAAGCTATTTGACTGGTGCAAACATGATAATCGTGATATGCGTCTCATGTGAGAACATGACTGCATGCCACAGTCAAAGTGCCAATATATTTCGACGTGATGCGGTGCGTGTGCTCGCCGGCGTTCGTTTCGTCGCGTCACGCCGGCGTTGCCACTCCAGGCACCGGTCCTGCCATATACTCGCAGGCGCGTGCCGCGCTTCGTTGCTTGGACGCATGCGCGTTTTAGCGCGTCTGGCGTCCCTCCGTCACGAAAAGAGGGAGACCCAGTGTAGTCTGTGTAACGTATCGGCACGAAATGCAGCATGTTGCATTTTGCGCCGGTTGCCGTCAGGACGCGCCGACGGACGCTGGTAGCGCCAGGCGTCAGACTTTATAGTGCTCGCGTTTTGCTATCGTAGCGTCGCTGTCCCCAGCGTGCGCGCGCGTCAACGCTACATTGGAGTACATTGGGCCCTTCATCTTGCGGCCGTTTCGCTAGCTCCACATATACCAAACTTGGTGTCACGTGACGTCAAATGATGACGAAATATATGAGTGGTGCAAACATGATAATCCTGACACGCATGTCATGTAAGAACATGGCAACATACTACGCTCATTTTCGGGCGTTTTGATAGCTCCACATAACTAAATTTGGTATCACGTGACGTGAATAAATGACGAAGGTAAACGACACATCTAAACACGATAATCATGACACGGAAGTCATGTACGGCATCATTTATCTCTACCTCGTAACTTTGTGCTGATATTAAAGTGACATATCAACCTTTCTCATTCGTGCTTCGCATATCATCTATTCCCACTGTATATGGGATCTGCCATTTTTTTAATGTGAAGTATTTTATGGTCGAGCTCAGTCTGTAGTGCAGCTTGACCACCCTTACTGCACATGCGCTGGCTTGACCGACCTCCCTCCCTGCACTGGTGCTTCCTAAACATCACAGTTTGTTGGTTTAGACTCTAAACTCCCACATTTTGTGTCCTCCCAGTTTGCTAATAACAATTCTTACAACAGCATAGAACTTTCGGTATGAAGGTGATGGCAATTATGCTTTCATTAACGGTTGTCCTATTGAATGCTGTGATAATAACAGTCGAGGCACTGACATCTCTTGGGAGACAGCTTTATTCAGCTTCTTACTTTTTGTCTGAAAACTGTGGGCCTGGGAGTCTTAGCTAATTCTGTTAACATTCCCAGCGTCCCATTTTTGAATCGGAAAGGGTGAGATAAGCTGGCGGTTGCCGGTGATGTGACGATTACGTGATGATGACGTGTAAATGACGTAAAGGTGACGTGAGAGTGACATTACACGATAAAATGGGGTGTTCAACGGCTGTTCGAACAGGGTCTGAGTGCTACTGGCCACCAGAATAAATCCTAACGTGCATTTCTTGCATTTTTCAGCTGCTTCGGGGGACGCGAGAACAAATGGCGAGTACAAGCTGCCCACGCATCACCTGGTCGTCATCATTCTCTGCATACTGGTCACCGTGGCCGTCATCCTCTTCTTCGTCGTTGGATGTGAGTGCACCGAAGCCCGTCGTTGCAGTCAGTATTTAATCAGAAACCTTATACATTGTCATTACATTAGGCTACTTATAGTTCCTGCTTATATTTGCCCGATCTCTATAGAAAAACCTTACGTATTACAAGACATTAAAAATCATGTTACTTTCATTCCAGGGCAGTTTTCTCGCAATATCACAGAATATCTCAGTATGTCGTTACAAATCATTGCCAAAAAAGTGGCCGCAAATATACGTGATTCACTGCCAATGTCGTCGAAAGATGATAGTTTTCTGCTGGCCGTCCTTATTTCGTGCATAGCGTCGCGTTTTAAGAGCATCCAGAGAAACACTATAGGGTCTTTAGAATTACGTATCTGTGTATTTATTTAGCGAAGAACCACACCACCTAATAGTTACGTATAGGTGGTGCACCTAAGGTATGTGTATATTAGGGGCGAAGCTCCTTAGGGCGTGGGCTGTGCGTCCCCTGTATGTAGCCACCTCTAGTTTAGTTCTTGCAGTGTTCACTAGATGGCGGTACCGTCCCCTGTATGTAGCCACCTCTAGTTTAGTTCTTGCAGTGTTCACTAGATGGCGGTACCGTCTCCTGTATGTAGCCACCTCTCGTTTAGTTCTTGTAGTGTTTACTAGGTGGTGGTACTTGTAGCTGATGATGAAAAGATGCAAGATGTTATAAACTAGAAAGCGGTACTTGTAGTTGATGAAAGACGCGAGATCTTATAAAATAGGAATGATGTCACATATGGCGCGTGTCATTGGTTGAAGGCAATCGTTCGATTTAGTGCGGCGACGTACGCTAGGGGGAGCGATGTAATAAAATCGAGTGGGCAAAATGTACAGAGGATTCATGGTTTACCAGGTTTACCTCCGGAGCTTCGCCCACTCATCATCATTCACTTCGTGGATATGGCGGCACTTTTTTGCTTTTTGACTGACAATGTTCACAAGTATATGCGTACGCAACCACCACTTCAAGATGGCTGGGCATTCACTAATTGCTTAAACTTTGGCCGGGTAGCTGAATCGTGTTACAGATAGACAGACAGACCGAAATTGCTGCATTCAAGTATCCCGGCTGTCATTAAAAAAAAATTGCCCGCAGCTTCCCTCGGGGGAACACTGAGGAGGTTCCGGAGCATATAATTGGTTAACGGGGTGTTAAAGTGCGACTTACTTAGGTCGATGGCTAAATTGGTTAACGTGGTTGTGAAATGAGGTGTTAAATTGCGACTTACTTGGGTCGATGGCTAAATTGGTTAACGTAGTTGTAGGAGGGGGTGTTAAATGAGTGAACACGTACACACGTATGCGAAAGGGCGGCGCTGGTCGAAGGGACGTCGATCATTGTGTTTGTGGATTCGTTGGAATTCATTTCACCGCGACCTTGGACGTCGACGCGCCGTACAAACCAACCGACGAGCGGCAACTGAGCGAGCGAGCGCCGACCTTGAGTATATATACAGCGCGACGGCGCATGCACTGTCAGCTGTCGAATGTTCGAGAAGGGGGAGAAGCGCAACGGCGCATGCGCGCGCGTCAGCTGCCGATGTTCTCGAAGCGCGACGGCGCATGCGCGCGCGTCAGCTGCCGATGTTCTCGAAGCGCGACGGCGCATGCGCGCTACATTATACAGCTAGCGAATGTTCGTGAAGAGGAGAAGCGCACGCGGTGTGTAGAGGAGGAAGGGTGCACGGATGGTGGAGGAGTGAAGCGCGCGCGGTGTGTAGAGGAGGATGGGATGCACAGATGGTGGAAGAAGGAGGAGGAAGCTTGCGGACGGCGCCGCACTACAAGCCTCGAGTATTAGATGCTCCGCATCTAAAAAATCCGGTTTCACGCAGGGAGCACCATGGAAATTCCGCAGCTAAGTTGAGGTTTCTCTTTCTGTTGACAAGTGGATTTTGTTTGCTTTTTTCTAAGTATGGTGGGTTCGTCTGTGTGTGTTGGCGCTCGGCCTGCGTCTGAGTCTTCCGAAGCTAAAGATCACCTCGCATTTGCTCGCGTTTCTCTTCAGCTACTCTTTTCCGTAGATCTGCTCTAAACTCCGAGCGCTAACGTTTCGCTATAGGCACCGTTCAGTCGAGTTTGTCAGTCTGACTGCAGCGCCAGAATACATAGCCTGCAGAGTCACTCTGCAGGCTATGTATCCATCTCAGGTTTGCTTTCTTTAACCACTCTGAGTGGTTAAAAAAAGCAAACCTGAGATGGCCTCCCTGAAAACGAAACGCGACGCGCGCGTTTTATCTGTCCGTGGATTGTGGTCGGGATACATGAGGCATGCTAGCACGCATCTATTTTGTGCGTATCTCTAACGGCGAATATCGAAGACGGGGCAGTGTGAGCAACGCAGCTCCGTATGGCCAGTGTGCGGTGCCTATCGCTTCTCTGGCTGGGTCATGCTGGCGTTCACAGGCAAGGTTGGGCTGGCGTTCCAAACGTTTAGCTGACTTGGCGTACGTGGCGGAAAAAAAGAAGCGTTCGATTGTGAACTTGTGACGCATTGGCACCCTCTCGATCTGTTTTGGGACTGACATAACCTGTAGAGCCTTCTCGAGGCCAAATTTGTTAAAGAGCTGACATCTAGCGCCCTCTTTTGTTCTATTTTAGTATATACTATACCTGTAGCAGCCTCTCTTGACCTGTTACAATTATTTGAGGATTACTCCAAGTCAAGACGTGAGGTGACAGCCCAGGCTACAAAATTTATAAGACCGGAAAGTTCATGAGAGATTTTCAATTGTACTAACTGCACATAGGCATCGCATGCGAAACTATTTCCGACAATTATTAGTGACGACATTGCCTTCGCGGTGTTGCAGAGAGGTAAAAGATAGCGTCTTCTTGGGCAAGTTAACCGGTACGACAGAAGAAATTGTTGGGCAAATAAGTAAAAAAACACAAATACGAAAACGTGGGCAGCAATTTTTCAACGCAGTAGCGTTAAAGAGCTCGTTTTGCAGAAATTACGCCATTGGTGTATGCGTCGATGCAGGCGTCGTGGGTTGTGAGCGAAAAATCTTTTCCTGACCTAAAATTCGAGGAAGATGCAAATAAAATACATTGTGTTCCACCACACATCCACGCTTCTGTTTGTGAATACAGTGAATAGAAGATCCTCTGCTTACAAGTGCAGTCAAAGTAACTTTCATATTTTACAAACACACACGTCCCGTATACATGCTTCACAATACAGCATGAACTATCGCCGTCATGATGCGTCGTACAAGCGTACACTACCATCGGCCGTCAGAAGATGGGATCGTCACGATGACTTTATAGTTTAAAGCCAGTCACCCACTAGAAAAGTCCCAGACGTTACTGCACCCTTAAGGCCACGTAGTGGGTGCGTGACAAGTTTAAGAGGTTTCACCCACTAGAAACACAATATCGCTATCGCGTTGAACTCCTGAAGGCGGAGCTTAAGGGTCCTCCAAGTTTTTTCGTTTATTTTTATCACGACCTGGCTTGCTTCCCTTTGCAGCAGTTTTAAAGGCAGCAGTCTGAGGCATCGGCGTCTCATACTTTGCAACATTTATCGTTCCATTGTATGAATGCTACGTTAACTGTATTTTCTAAATGTACTCATTGACATAGAACTACAAAACAGGTTGTCGGACTGCAGCTTCGTTTATGTGGGGTTATAATGTGCAGTTAGCTACGGGAAGAGAGAGATGTGTGTAAAAATATGTTACGAATGCAGGAAGCACCACCAGAACAATTTAATATGCGCTTTGCTTCCCCACAAGAAACTGTGGAATGAAATTTTTGCTTCGTCCATGAAGTCATAAAAGACTTACGGTCTAGGACATGAGTGTAACCTGCCGAGACAGCCTCGTGAAAACGTCACTGTAGTTCGAAATGACACTATATTGCTACGTGTTTGTAGATGCGCAATCAGCGGAACTATACTGCTTAGCTGTGCCTTGTTCACTGAAACTATATATCTGGTCAGTATAATGTGACTCCTAAGCAAATATTTACCGATCGTAGGTGTCAGCCAGCGTTTTCGCGTCGTCGGAGCTATTCTTTTTTCATCTTTTTTGTGAATTTTATTAACGAAAACATTGAACGACTGACTTCAACCAAGACGTTTTCGCAGCTGTTTGAATTCGGTCTGTTTGAACTTTGCGGTCTGTATTCGGTCTGTATTTCAAACAGACGGTCTGTTTGAATGTTTTCTATGTTTTTTTTTGTCTGCAAATACGGAGTGGTCTCATGGCGTTCACATGAACGCTGGCATCACTTTTCCGCTACCAGTAGTTTAATTAACCACAGAGGAAAAAAGCAAGAAATTACGTCTTTTGCATAACAACTTTTACCAGAGCTGCACTAGGTCGCTACATCTGATATGCAATATCTCCGTAGAGGTGTTTGTAGGTAATAAAGCGAAGTCGAATAGGCATGTGACCACACTCACTCCTGACCTTAGGATATGGCGTCAATATTAGGGAGTGTCATCAACCACCTCTACAACTGTTCGTGAACTTTCCTGACTTAATGTCGCATCTAAGACATGTGCACACACAAAGGTAGAAGGGTGTTCCAGGGCCTTAGTTTGCCCGTCGTGCTTCGGTGTGCAATGTTTGCTAGTGTCACACGATTCTGCACACTCGATACCCAATGCTTAGCATATTAAGTCCTCATATGGCTCCGGGGTAGAAAAATTCTCGAGATTTGGCTAGACCTGACGATAAGCCGGAAGACGTTGGTGACGCCTGCGTCAGATCGAATGATGCGACAGAAACTACGTAATAAATGTCGGTTATAAGTACCATGATGCTCAAAGAAATGTGTGTGCTCAGTTGGCGTACTAAAAACAACTCGATGTCAACGTCGCATGACCCATCAGTGACCCGCCAACCGGTGCTATCATCGTGATGACGCAGACACCAGAACTTGTTCCGCAATCGTGTCGTCATGATTACGTCGAAAAATGATGTCACATCATGAGTCATCGTATGACACTGGTCACTTGGTCAAAGGCGGATTGTGCAATACCATGTGCACAGAGGCTGAGCAAAGCCATTCGGGGTACAGCAAGCTATCAGGGAATGGGGGTCCAATACAGTAGACAGATGAAAAGTAAGTTGAAAGATGATGACTTTCACCGTGCAGTAGTCTTAGGCAAATGCATGAACGACCATGTCGCTTTTGTTTCTGCGATGGACAACCTCTTCACTTGCGCACTTCAATGTACTTCGAAATGTGACAACGAAACTTACATGCGTGTCAACTAGCTGGTACTAACGACACTTCAACCCACGCGCAGTCCCTCGGTGTCCCGGCTCCCGCAAGAAGCTGCCATCGTCGCTCAGTCCCGAGCCTCTGGGCGGTAACAACCCGGAGGTCCAGCTGAGCAGGCTGCGCCAGGCCACGGGCATGGTGACTGAGTTCAACCCCAACTACGAGTTCGGAGGCTCCACCTGCACCCTGCAGGACCTCACCGACATCCCACGCGAGAGCCTCACGCTCGTCAAGGCCCTCGGCCAGGGAGCATTCGGCGAGGTCTACCAGGTCAGTGGCACCCAATGTTTCATCAGTCTTTGGAGTGAGCTACTTTTCATTCGTGTTCAAGCTAACCTCTAGGCACGAAGACAAAACACAGTGTTGACAGAAGGGGTGCCCGTAATCTCTACACTGCGATTTATCTCCGTATCCGTCGTGCCTAGATGTTTGCCTCTGTTTTAGCCTTTCATCTGGAGACTTCCGGGACTGTCCTACCAATGACATACGTTGCGCCTATAGAAGCGCTTTCGACATGAAGAGAAACCCAGCAATTAAGTAAAGTTGGCCAGGTCATGTACATAATACAAAGAGGAAGCAATGGTCTCTTTGTTTCAGACCCACCATTACCTCTGTCTCAAATCGCATGTGATAGCCTGCATCGTGCCCAGATATACTCGTTTTTCGATTTTTGGCTTTTCTTTCTATATATTTTTTTTTCAGTCCGAAATTACTTTGTGCTTGAAAAACCATAAGCCTTTTACTTAAGATCCTGCCGCCCGGTTCTTGGCCGATCCCCCTTTGTGGGTGTGCGCCAGAGTATCAAGGATCATCATCATCGTCATCATCATCATCATTATCATCAGAACACGTTCGTTGACATGGATGCTCGGCTTGGCGCCCTTTTCATTTTGCGCCTTTAGACGTCGAAATGCGGCTTTCCCAAAGCTTCATAACATGCACGCATTTTACTGCACCTTCAAAGGACATCTGTATCCACTCCAAACATAAGTCAAAGGGACTGTGTTATTTATTATTACTTGGGTTGTATGCCCAGAAAACACAAGACATAGAGGAAATGGGGAGGAAACAGGCTGACAAGCACCACCTATAGAACAACGCCTGCCCGCCCCTTCGGGAAGGGGTGACATAGCGTAAAAAAAAACATATGGGGAAGAAAGAGGACAGAGAAGAGAAACACAAAACAGAAAAGACACGTAAGCACAAATAAATAGTCACTTGAAGAAAAAATGTCTATAAACACGAGGTCAAATCGGTTTCCTTCAGGAAAGTTAGCAGGGCTCGATGGGTCGGCGCACGCCTTGTCGCACATCCTCCTGGAAACAAGAAATCGTCAATGGCCATGCACTTAAGTCCAATAAGTCAATATGCCTTCGTGAGCAGTGTTCGCTGTGCAACGACGAACACAAACGATAAACACACGACGAACATAAAGGACTGTCCTTGAAGATACAATCGTTTGCGCATTGATACCTAACCAACCTTTGTCTTATACAACAGGACTCTGTCACGACGAGGCAATCCACGATCACAGACGCATGCTCAACAAAATGAAAGTACGCACGTGTATACATGGGAAGAAAGTAGCAAATCGGGCTAGCTGGAACGCACTCATCAGGTTTTTATGCTTTTTTTGTGCGCAGATCATGATGAGCGTGTACATACGTGCGGCCAATACGTGCTACTGAGTGGTAAAGTTGCAATGGTAGTACATGTTTGATTGACTTGGTGGGGCTGGAATTTTTTCGAAGAACTGTTTCCTTCTCTACGCAGGGCTCACTCTTTGCTATACAACTGGTACTACAGAGTGTTGTTACAACACGAGGCAATATGAACATGTAGTAGTGTGGCTTTGAGAGACTTCGGCATGCCTGTTTCAGAGCGCCATGTCCTAGAAACGATTCTCAATATTGTAAATGCAAGTGGTACCGAAAGGCATGGCAGTCCGCACAGGTGTATACTGGACAGCGTCCTTTGAGCCTTCTGCGCTTCGTACATCTGCGCACGTGTTCTTGAATACTAAATTGTATTGGGCAGCCAAGGAAGTATACGGCGTAGGCTTCGTCAGAAGTGCAAACAAGGTAAGAACTTGTGTGTTTATGGCGGAGAGAGAGAAAACAGCTGGGATTAAGGAAAGAGGGGAGATTTATGAGTTAGATTTCTTGCACCTTGCTGTTGTAGATGGGAATAAAAGAGTCAAAAGAAAAGCGAAGAAAGCTTCATAAAAAAATATCACGGAATAGACACGAAGTGCTCACGGTGCACCTCCCAATGAACTCCTTGATGTTTCACTTAAAGTGGTGCTGACACAAAATTTAGGGGCCAAGATAACCTGCGGGGTCTATTCTCGTAAACATTTGTATATCATCTGCAAGATATCAACAGCGAATATAGCATGAAAAGCATTTTAAATTAATCTATGTTCGCGTGAGCTACCGACTCTATAGCACTATAGACACCATCGGAGGGGACCCCGAGGTGACCCCGTACTTCCCCCACGTCACCACGCTGCGGTCAACAAAACAAGTTATGATGACGTCATAACCGCTATTTTTTTCTTTGCCGCATTAGTTCCCGCAGTCTATATTTCTGGGCAGCTGGTTGCGAGTGCGTGGCCGTGGCGCACGCTTAGAAAGTTATGTGTTTGGCGACATTCCAGTCCCGTTTCCCATTCGAAAAAAATTTTTTATGCGGACCATCCAGAAGTGCGTCACAGTTTTGTGTGCTGACGTGGTCAGGAGCTGCACACGCTAGGTGGCGACAGTTGCACCCAGTTTTTGGAACTCTCTCAAACCGAAGCTGAAACTGATTGATAATGAGGAGCCTGTAATTAATTATCTGTCGCGAGCTGCAGCAAGCGATGTGTCGTGTCGTGACGAACAGGCCCCCAGCAACTCACTGCAGAAGAAAAACGCGAGGCCAAGGTTTTTGTGTCAGTACCCCTTTAAGGGTACTCGCGGCACCATAGAGGCAATAATGAGAAACTGCCCAGAATACTATGCGCCGTATTCTTGGCTCGAAATTGGCTAACAACGCCGTTTCTCTTCTTTGATAGGTGCCGGTGCAAGTGGAGATACCCTTTTTTTCTATTCGCGGGTACGAAAGCTCTATAGTGAGTGCGTGGGAGGGAGAGCGGCAAAGAAAAGATAGGGTCTATGGAGGAGTGGCACTGAAAAGTCCGTCGTAAGCGGGGATTTTTTGATGGAAAAGCCCTTGACAGGAGCATATTTCTACGTTGATTGATATGTGGGGCTTAACGTCCCGAAACCACCATACGGTTATGGGAGACGCCGTAGTGGAGGACTCCGGAAATTTCGACCACCTGGGGTTCTTTAGCGTGCACCCAAATCTGAGCACACGGCCCTACAACGTTTCCGCCTCCATCGGAAATTCAGCCGCCGCAGCTGGGGATCGATCCCACGACATGTGCGTTATTCTACGTTCTGGTTCATCACTTGACCTAGTCCCTTGTCGGAAACATATATTTTTCCATAGATACACTAGAGGAAACTCTAGGTGTGTGTTGTTCTCTTTGCTTTCCTTGCCTTGCTTTTCGTTTCTCGTTTCTTCTAGCACCTTGTTGCTTGCGCTGCAACCCTTATTATCTGGTGCTAGTGTCTATGGGAGCTGCAACACACGGCGTTTCAGCCAGCATGGAAATGATGCGTAGTACACAAATCTGTCTAATTTTTTTCATCTCTGCTTGGCTCCGTGTGGCCTAAATCCACTTTGTCGCTATGCGAAGTTCAGCGAAGGTTCAACGGCTCCAGTTCAGCACCTTAACCTTTTTTTTTTTCTGCTCACCAATTCAAATGGGCTCGCAAAGATTACAACGGTTCGTTCTAGTATTTGAAACTAGCAATAAACAAAGCTACAAGTGCGTTCGAAGCCGGAAGAACAAACAATGTACAAACCTTGTACTATCCATCATTCTCGTTGTAGCTAAATGATCACAGTGCCAGAGTCTCCTTTTGTAAAATTTAGGAAACTCTGTGGTCAGAAATCTTCTGGCCAGCATTAGGAATAGAAACATGCAGGGAAACCGAATGCGTAAAATGTATGTCTTGGCCGAAAGTACACACAAAAAAACAAGATGGCGAAACTCGGGAACATGGCAGTGTCTTTCAATGCCCATTTTAGCGCTCCATATTTAAGAAATATCAGTTGATCATCATAATCGGGAGCCATCTCTTACGGGGTCTCTCAATAGCTTGGGTATTTGTACACACTCACTCACTCACTCACTCACTCACTCTACGGACGTTTCCCTAGCTAGATGGCTGACTTATTGACTGACTACCACCTTGATTGACCAACCGACCTTAATGACACACTCCAAATCAATCAGTCAATCAATCATTCATCCAACCAAACAATGGCTGCAGATCTTCGAAGTTGATGCTGATGATAGAGTGAACCTGCATTAACGAAATAGTAAACGATATAAATATTGTTCAAGGAAATCTTTGAAACAGTATGAACGCCATGTACGCTTTGTAGACGGTATTGCCACATGTTTCACTCTTTCACTTCGATAAGGGCCGACAGAAAGCTTCAACGACAATGATCGCGAGTAGCGAAGGAGCTTCACTCCTCAAAAATGATCCAAAATCACTGTACTCGTTGACCTGTCCTGCTGGTTTTGGGCCTCATCAGCGTCCCTCACCTCGTTTACAGGGCTTCCTGCTGCCAACAACCGTAGCGCCCACTACACCGACCACTGGAGAGGCACCGTCGCCCTGTGACAGAGATCCCAGTGGCCGTGAAGACGCTGCCGGAGCTCTCGTCCCCGGAGTCCGAGAAGGACTTCGTCACGGAGGCCTGCATCATGAGGTATGATGACCGCGAGACAGAGTGCGTTGGGGCGATTTCCTATTCACTCTAAGAATAGCACCACGCCTGCTTCCGAACACGCCACACAGCCACAGCGATAAGCTGGAAGAGTGGCTCTTTTGAAAACCCGTAGTAAAGTCTCTTGGGCAACTGTATACTACAAGTGCACTTTCAAGGTGTCCTTCTGCGTTATAAGTCATAGTTCTTTTTTCTGAAGTAACGGAAGCACGCACTGTGCCATTCTTCGTCACCTGCAAAGAAACGATGCACCAGAAACATATCTGTAAGTAATTATGTGGAGTTTGTGCTGTGGCCGATGACGATGAAAAATTGTGGCTGGGCTTTCTGTAATTGGTTGGAAGCTTTATACGCCTCCTTTGTTGCGCAAGTTACATTATGTGAATCCTGGTTGTTATTTTACTCTTTTGCCACGGTATATCGCATGCGTTGGCACGACTTCTTGCTCAACGTGACGCCTGTATATGGTATTTTTGCGAAGGAGTATCAAGCAGTGGTGTGACTCTGGTGCAATACTTGACTGCCACACAAAGAGCTTTGGTTCGAATTCTATCCAATCCAGGAAATTCCCATTTTCTTTTTCACATGATAGGAGCGGCGGACTCTGCCGCCGGCGGTGGCACAAGCAGTGGCCTAAAACTATGCCACTAAAGCAGCCGGCTGTTGGGATCTCACAACCGCTTTCGCTATAAAAATGATTAGAGACTAGCGTCAACTAGCGTACTAGCCAGCGCTGGTAAAGGAGCCAGAGGAGTAGAGTGTGAGAGAGAGAAAATGACTATGATGGAAAAAGAAAGTGAGATACGAATGAAAATAAATATAGACTTATTACTTGTCAAACACGTAGTAGTGGGTCTACAAGATGTCAGCGTGCCATCGGAGGCTCGGAACAGGATATGTGAACCTACCTAGATGATTAAGTAAATGAATTTTGAAGCTTGAAGTTTATTACCATGTAGGTACAAGACGCCCGTAAAGAACAAGAATGGTGGGATAAAAGCTGTGTACAGGCAGCTTGACTGGTTCCATCTTCTTGTACAGTAACAGCAGCAAAATCACAGGAGCTCCCACTTATTGCAATATTAAAATATAGACTCACAGGATAAATTGATACCTATCTGCCGAAAACCGCATTTTCCAAAAACATAAAGCAATATGAGCATTCATATAATCAGTTGAAGTTTTGCGTTTGTAGGAACACAACTCATGTTTTCATCGCCCAGTTTTCTTGCATAGTGGTAACAATGGCAATAGGAAACAAGGCGCAAATAATATTAATTTATTGTGCATTGGACGCCGGCATATAAGCCAGAGGAAGCAACGCACTTGAACGAATGAACTTGAACGAACACGTGCGATAGAGGTATCACTTGTGATAGAGGTAAACTGTACAGACCAGCCTATATGAATTATCATTTTTACGGACATAGTATTAGTGAAAGCCGTGTGCAAATTGTATGACAAGTTTATCATACGATACGATGGCAACAAGCTTTTGTACAAAATCAGCTCGAATAGGACGGAACACTTGAATAGAAGGACAAAGTATGAGCGCTCGTATACTGTGTTCTTTCGTCCTCGTGCTCCGTCCTATTTTCGTTGATTCTGTACGAGATGCATTAAGTTCAACTGCGCCTATCTCTCTACCTTACTGAAAAGCTTGTTAGGTTAGGTCCTGAGGCCATACAGTTGACAAATGATATCAGATCTCGGAGCTGGCCGGGAGAGGGTATTTAGTATTCTTAATAATCTTGACCTATATTTGTAATTAAATGCAAATAATAAATCGTTCCTCTTTGCTACGTATCAATACAATTCAGCCCCGCCGCTGTGGTCTAGTGGCTAAGGTACTGGGCTTCTCACCCGCAGATCACAGCCATAGAATCCCGGCTGCAGCGGCCGCATTTTTGATGGAGGCAGAAATGCTGTAGGCCTGTGTGCTCAGGTTTGGCTGCACGTTAAAGAACCCCAGGTGGTCAAAATTTCCGAAGCCCATTACTACTACGTCTCTTATATTCATAGGGTGGCTTTCGTACTTTAAACTCCACATATCAATCATTATTATTACAATTAAACTGATTAACCTCGAAGAAAGCACTAGAGTTGAGCTTTTAGTGTAGGCCATGAGTATTTTTCAAAGTGCTCTTTTCTGTTGGCCGGTAACTTTCACTGATATTAACATTACATACAAGAGAGCAGGTTGAAATATTTTAATACAAACTAAGTTTACCATACAGTACTTTCACGAACCTTCAAATTGAGATCTTGGACTGAATTAGGTGAAAGAGCATTTACGAATAAAATAGCTGTAAATTCCGCCCTGGATTCTTAGTGTGACATCAAATTTTCAGTCACATGATTCATGCATTAGTGCCACAAACCAAGGACTTGAAGAATTGGTGCAACACGAGCATTCGCGACTATTGTAGAGGGACATGTGCTCCTCAGGTGATGAATGCTTCACTGCAGCAGATTGTCGACTGGTCAAAGGTCACCATGCACACGGATTCGACTGGGGGTTACTTCTGGGTCACTCATTTCTCTATGATTTTTTTCACGGCGAAGTACCTTAGGGTTTCGGCTAGTCGACACGTCATGTTGTCGTCACGGTCCGTGATGAAGGGGCATACGCCACAAAAAAGGGGTAAATTTCACTTACTGTCACCGGTTCATACTATGCATATTATGACTTAAACGTTCGTCGCTATGGCCTAAAACAATATGTTTGGCTTCACAGCTTTGTCAGCACACCCAATGAAATCGGCCAAAGTGCTCAAGTTTCTCATTTTAAACCAGATACACAAGCGTGCATCTCTACAGTCGTCATCTAGTATTGGAAACCCCTTCTTAAAACACATTTCTAAACTATTAATTCGTTGGTGAGTCCGCAGAGAGTAAAGATTTAAAGAGTTGAAATTTCACTGGGGAAACACTGGCACACACCACACTTCTTCGCCCTTGCCCAGATTTCATGTCTGTGGAGCTGAAATGCCCTCTCCTACATGCGCCCCAATTTCCTTCTATTTCTTCAAACAGACGGCGCCTGGACCATCGCCCTGCGCGTTTCCGCCAGCGCTGGGGTGCTTGTCACTGGAAGTCACAGTGAAATTCTGTAGCCTAGGCTTGTGAAAATGCATCCCTGAAGAGTGCAGTAAATGGCTGTTTTTTTCTTCCCTGCTTGCAGCAAATTCAACCACCCCAACATTGTCCGCTTCATTGGCGTCTGCTTCGAGAAGATGCCACGGTTCATCGTTCTCGAGCTCCTGCCTGGCGGAGACCTCAAGTCCTTCCTCGGGAATCGCGGCCAAAACCGGTGAGGCCATGTACACACTTAGACTTGACTAAAGCTGTGCTTAGTCGCATTTGCCATCATTGTAAATATATCGTAAACAGACTTTTGAAGAAGATACGCATGTAATTGTAGATAGACAGATACCACCACGCTTACTTAATAAGGACACTGCCATTTCCTAGATAAAATTCTCATAATCACCAATGAACATTAACAAGAGATTTATCAATAAGCCTTAAGAAATGAAAGCAGCAACTGGTCATTCAGTAAAGAAACAAAGGCTTGCACTTAAGATTTGGTTCCTACCTTAGTGCTCCTGAAGTTCAACACGTCAGGTACACATTAGGTGCGTCTTAAGGATGTCAATTTACTTCAATGTTTTCAAGCACATACGCTGAACATGTTGAATAAATATCAGTTGCGAGGAGCACCGTGTTCTTCCTGTCGGCTCCGTTACGTTATCTTTTCCCAATAACAAAAAAAATATAAGCTACTACAAACAAGTATCATTTAACCTTAATTCCATTACGATGAAAGAATGACAGCAAGTTTATAACTTTGGAGAATTTTCGGGTCACTCACGTAGAACTTTGTGGTGTTCGCATAAGCAATATAGGTTCACCCATGAGGCCATGTATACGTTACTGAATGATTACTTCATCCTTCGAGATGGTTCACTTGTGAGCTGCTATGATGCATGTGAAACACTGAGTGTCCTTATTTGCTTAAAAGTAGTATTATAGCATCTGTTTGTATATTTTTCCGTTGTTTATTTTTCTTGGCTTCATTCCCATGTTTTTCAAGAACTACAGTTAACAAAACTACACGTGAGTTATGAGTGCATTCGAAAGTGTCCCTGATACTACATTATTCCGCTTGAAAATTCCATACTGAAAGGGACCTTCGCCTGTATAAAAGGTCTTTTCTAAGTATGCAAGCATTACAAATGCTTCATTACATGAACGTACGTAGGTATAAAGCACACTTACTGCGGTCTACCTAAGTACGGGTAATTCGAGGCCACGTGCATCAGAACCAGGCCATCACGGTCGCATATTTCATTAAATAAACGTTCATTCCTGTATTTCCATGGAATAAACATTCGTTCATATTCATAAAGAGCGATTGCATAGAATTCTTAGTAAGGGCAGGTTACAGCCCTTGCTGATGACGGAACATCATTGACAGAGCAGGTAAAAACTTTGTACTTATAATAGACAGTGCCTTCAGTGCATTGTGTGAGATATGGTTAGTTTTCCTGGCGACGAAAGGTCCACGTTTTCACACGAACACTTCTGTTCTGTTATAACTCACTTCCTGTGAAAACTTTATCTGATGCAATATTTATGCATGTTTTCCAGCACGAAAGAAATAGAAGAATGATTGCCATAGACAAATAATAATATAATTGTGCTATACTGTAAATAAGGTGGGCTCCAGAAACTTCTGTTACTTCAGGTTAAATAACATGCACCTACATCTAAGCACACGGGCCTCTAACGTGTGCTCTAACGGCCTCTAATAACATGAAAATATTGGTCCAATGGCAGAATTTCGCCGGACAGTGGCACGTTCAGAAGCACACACTTCTGCCGAAGTTGTATTCCCCATGCACAGAATTTTCGATCAAATCAGCTATGTGCAGTGTTTTATCTGCGCATAGCTGCTCTTAATAAACATCTTTGTAACACTCCTTTTATTTATTTATTTTCCATTGAAGCTCTCGACTAAATGCAGATTTTGTTGATTTTTGACACGTGTTACGCATTTTAACTCACAAACGATAAATAAAGATTTATATCGGCAGACATAATGATTACAACAGCATAACTGAGTGCCACAGAATTTTGGTAAGAAGGGTTGACTCTATAAACACAGCACAGTAATTAACGTTGTTTTCTGCAGAATGTCCCACCGAGTCTTACGATGACAGACCTCCTGAAGTTAGCCATCGACGTGGCCAAAGGCTGCCAGTACCTGGAAGACAAGCACTTCATACACAGGTGCGCGAAGAGCTGTTTGTTGTACATTTTTTTGCGGACGTCTTCACATTGAACTGCCTCCAGTTAACAGTAAGATAGCGGCGTTTCGTGGTGCGAGACCACGTTTGCACTAGGCAGCCAGCAAGTAGAAAAACTTGCGCGCAAGATGTGCGAGACTGGCTATCTCTGAAGGGGCCTTTCCGAGCACAGTGTACAGGTGGCTGTTTGTATAATCTTGCATAACTGGCACTGTCCCTCAATAATCAGCAAGCGGGAAAGGCCAATAACTTTTCAGGTTTGCGAGCGCAACGGGCACAGCCAGTCACTATACTGACCACACGCGTTTCTTGTCATTCAAAGAAGCATTCCCTACTCAGTATAATATCTTATGCACTAGGTGGTCTTTATCACGATAGCGGCCGTAACGATATAGGCAGAAGAGCCAGTTAGGGGGTGAGGATCAGGAGCAAGAATGCCTTAGTATTAACCAACCCCCCTTCCCCCCTTCCTCCTTGACCACATACCTGTGCAGCTCCAATGATCATATTTACTTTGTGTTAGACGTGTAAGTACACCACGAGTATGAAGTATGCACACTCACACTTCTATATTGTGGCCACAACTACGATGGACTTATTACAGCGGAGCTGCTGGGCTCTTTCTTAGGCCGCGTAGCGACACCAGAAAGCTATCATCACCAAAAAATCGGCATGCGCTCTCTGCTCTCTTCGTACTCTTCATCTTTTGTTTAGATCCAAGAACACGTGCGCGTATTTTTCGGCGTGGAACGCCAATGCCATAACTCTGACGAGATAGAGAATGAGCTCAAAAAAGAAAGAACGAGATAAATAAAAAGAAAAAGATAAAATAGAGAAAGGAGGGGAAGAGAGAAGGAAAATGCAGAAGGTGAGAAAACGATTGTTAAGAGACAGAGAAAGAAGGCGAAATGCAGATACATAAAGGAAAGAAAGAGAGATAACCATCAAGTTAAAGGGAACGAGATAAGGGTAGAAAGATTTGAAAAGAAACAGACACAACACAGCGACAAAAAAAAAAAACAAGAGCGCAAGCATAGTCATGTGTAGTATAGTATAGCAACGAGTGGAAAAGGGCGCAGAGGGTGGCGAGGAAAAAATAGAAAGTGAGATGGTAGAGCATATATTATTCTTTTTAGTACAGCAAAGAGTGTTGAAGAAAAGTGAGGGTGATGACAAGGCAAAGGAAGAGGACAGCACCACCACCTCCGCTGCTTCCCCATGACAGCAAAAGCTGTTCTCAGATGAGGCTTCCCGGTCCGTTCACGTAGCGCTGGTCAAGGGGTGATGAGGAGCGGTGAGGGTGAGACTCGGTAGGAGGAGAAGGGCAGCGCAGTGACAAAATAGGAGAGGGCCAAGTTTGGTGGGAATGGTTAACTGATGAAGGGTCAGCCAAGAGGGGGAGTGATGATGATTGATTTGTGGGGTTTAACGTCCCAAAACCACCATATGATTATGAGAGACGCGAGAGGGGGAGTGTATAGGCTCGGTGGAAAGGTTGAACTAATGAGAGGCACACAGATATTGCGAGGGTGAGCCTGCCGCATGCGATTAACAGCTTTGCTGTTTTGACAGTGTTCGCGAAGTGGATGATAATGATGGCCTACATGAAGCGCTCACACCCACTTTGGAGGATGGGCCAAGAAACTAATATTTTATAGATAAAGAGGATCACATATAATTTTATGTACGATGAATTATAGAACGGCTAGAAGAACTTAACGATGCTAATTCAGATCATTGTGATCAAGACCGCCCTGATTTAATTGAATAGAAATTCTACAGCGAAACATGTATCCCGGTGGTAATGACCTAATGAGGAGGCTCCCAAGGAGTGTTAGAAGTAGTGAAATTTAATAATTCGATTAAAACCCACTGTGAGGATGTTCTTTCGCAGTAAATTGAACTGGTTGGATGACAAAAAGTAATGCTCGATTGCCACGCTTGTTTTCAGCATCTCTTTTAGTTTGCAATTTGCACTTAAGTATTTGGCCTTCTTGAAAAAACAGTAGTTCCTCGTCATGGGCTTCGGAAAATCGAGGGAACGATCAATCCTTCTAGTGGCTGAGACTAAAGAATGGACGTATCGGGTGCCTTCACCCGGGCAAGCAGTACCGATTAGGCTAACCTCCACTTCTTTCCAACAGAGACATCGCCGCGCGAAACTGCCTGCTCACCACCAAGGGGCCAGGAAGGGTGGTCAAAATCGCAGACTTCGGCATGGCCAGAGATATCTATAGGTGAGAGCGCTGACCTTTTGTTGTTTGTTTTTTCTGTACACACTGCAACCGTTACCTGACTTCTTGCTGTTCAATGATAGACAATCCCCGCCCTCTGGAAACTAAAAAGGGGATGCTGCATCTTTTTTAGCAAGAACACAAAACAACCTTCATGTTTAAAAATCTTCAGCACCGCGCGTGCGTTGTCTGACTTTGCTGGCGATATATGTGCTTGCACGTCAACTAATTGCAAAGGCCTATCGGTGACTTAACAACAGACCCTGCTTAACAACAAACCTGACAGAGTGAAAGCTGCTCAGAAGGTCTGAGTGGCTTTCAGAGCTTTGCTCTGTGCACGTTATAAATTTTTCTTGACTCGGCTAAGCGAGAATTCAACCTTCTCGCAAATGCTGTGTCCGCTCGTCTCGGACAGTACATATACACGAACATTCGTTCCCGTCCCACCACATCGGATCATACAGCCCTGGCTAGCGATCGGTTGTGTAATAAGACGTTTGCACACAGCACAGCACAATTATATAGTGTCAGTGTTGCAAGAATTTGTGAATCCTTTTAAAAAGTTCGCCCTAAACTGCTTAAATTATTTCCAAAGGTTGACGCACATGATTTGTAGGCGTATTGACTTTTTTTTTTTCAGTCCACGATTTGACTGTTGTGGAATTGACTCATTCATGTTCACGACGTGAACTTATGCTGTCTTACACACAACTTGGGCGCAGCCCTTGGTTTTCCTTGTTCATGTAGTTGGGTAGGTAGTAAACTTTATTGAGGTCCTGAAAAAGTCATCTCGCAGTTTTCATTGAGTGTAAAAACAAAAACAAAAAACGCGCTCATCATAAGGGATCATTTTGGGGTTGTTGCTATTGTTTTGGTTCGGCTGCCACATAATGCCATGGGGTTGCTCACTGATCCTATATGAAAATGCGCAAATCTATGAAAACTCCTTTCGTCAATGAACTGTTCTGAATCGCCAACGCGTTCGTTGGCGCACCACAACGCAGGGCGGACTACTACAGGAAAGGAGGCAAGGCGATGCTTCCAGTCAAGTGGATGCCACCCGAGGCTTTCCTGGACGGCATGTTCACCAGTAAACAGACGTGTGGTCATTCGGCGTCCTCCTCTGGGAGGTCATGTCCATGGGATACATGCCCTACCCGGGACGAGGCAACCAGGAAGTCATGCAACTGGTGAGCATCATCATCATCATCATCATCATCATCATCATCATCAGCCTGACTACGTCCACTGCAGGACAAAGGCCTCTCCCATGTTCCGCCAGTCAACTCGGTCCTGTGCTTGCTGCTGCCAATTCATACCCGCAAACATCTTAATCTCATCTGCCCACCTAACCTTCTGTCTCCCCCTAACCCGCTTGACTTCTCTGGGAATCCAGTTAATTACCCTTAATGACCAGCGGTTATCCTGTCTACGCGCTACATGCCTGGCTCATGTTCATTTCCTCGTCTTGATTTCAACTATGATATCCTTAATCCCCATTTGTTCCCTAATCCACTCTGCTCTCTTCTTGTCTCTTTTACACCGACCATTTTTCTTTCCATTGCTCGCTGCGTCGTCCTCAATTTATGCTGAACCCTCTTTGTCAGTCCCCGGGTTTCTGCTCCACAGCTAAGTACCGGCAAAATGCAGCTGTTATATACCTTCCTCTTGAGGGATAGTGGCAATCTACCTGTCATGATTTGAGAGTGCTTGCCAAATGTGCTCCACCCCATTCTTATTCTTCTAGTTACTTCAATCTCGTGGTTCGGCTCCGCGGTTATTATTTGCCCTAAGTAAACATAGTCTTTTACAACTTGAAGTGCACTATTACCTATCTCGAAGCGCTGCTCTCTTCCGAGGTTGTTGTACACTACTTTCATTTTCGGCACATTAATTTTAAGACCCACCTGGTGAGAATAGACAGCCGTTCAAAAATATGGTGTGCGTCTTATGTAACAACACGACTACACGCCACACTCACGATGTGCTCGCGGCTGTTTCGTTAGCTTTGCATATACCGAATTTGGTATTACGGGAGGTGAATGGATGATGAAGCTAAGTGACTGGTGCAAACATGATAATAGTAAGATGCGTGTCATGTAACAACAAGACTACATGCCGTGCTCATGATGTGCTCGTGGCCGTTTCGCTAGCTTCACATGTACCGAATTCGCTATTACTTGACGCGAATGGACGACATAGGTAAATGACACGTAGAAACATGATCCTGACATGTGTGTCAAGTGACAACATGACTACGTCCTACACATCATGGGCTCGCGGCTGTTTCGCTAGCTTTGCATATGCCGAATTTGGTATTACGGGACGTGAATGGATGACGAAGCTAAGTGACTGGTGCAAACATGATAATAGTGAGATGCGTGTCATGTAACAACATGACTACACGCCACACTTACGATGTGCTCGTGGCTGTTTCGCTAGCTTTGTATATACCGAATTTGGTATTACGGGACGTGAATGGATAACGAAGCTAAGTGACTGGTGCAAACATGATAATAGTGAGATGCGTGTCATGTAACAACATGACTACATGCCACACTCACGATGTGCTCGTGGCTGTTTCGCTAGCTTTGTATATACCGAATTTGGTATTACGGGACGTGAATGGATAAGGAAGCTAAGTGACTGGTGCAAACATGATAATAGTGAGATGCGTGTCATGTAACAACATGACTACACGCCACACTTACGATGTGCTCGTGGCTGTTTCGCTAGCTTTGTATATACCGAATTTGGTATTACGGGACGTGAATGGATAACGAAGCTAAGTGACTGGTGCAAACATGATAATAGTGAGATGCGTGTCATGTAACAACATGACTACACGCCACACTTACGATGTGCTCGTGGCTGTTTCGCTAGCTTTGTATATACCGAATTTGGTATTACGGGACGTGAATGGATAACGAAGCTAAGTGACTGGTGCAAACATGATAATAGTGAGATGCGTGTCATGTAACAACATGACTACATGCCACACTCACGATGTGCTCGTGGCTGTTTCGCTAGCTTTGCATATACCGAATTTGGTATTACGGGACGTGAATGGATGACGAAGCTAAGTGACTGGTGCAAACATGATAATAGTGAGATGCGTGTCATGTAACAACATGACTACACGCCACACTCACGATGTGCTCGTGGCCATTTCGCTAGCTTCACATGTACAGAATTCGGTATTACTTGACGCGAATGGACGACATAGGTAAATGACACGTAAAAACATGATCCTGACATGTGTGTCAAGTGACAACATGACTACGTCCTACACATCATGGGCTCGTGGCCGTTTCGCTACCTTCACATATGCTAAAATTTGGTATTACATCATGCGAATGGTTGACGAAGGTATGTACCTGGTGCAAACATGATAATCATGAGATCCGTGTCATGTAAGAACATTAATACACGCCACACTCAAGACGCCAATACACTTCGACGTGAGCCGGCGCCCGTGCGCGCCAGCGTTCGTTTTATCGCGTCACGCCGGCGATGACACACCAGGCGCCGATATCCCCCTATTAGAGATCAGTGGATCTGCCCACTGACCTTCATTGTGGATCAGCATGCCATATACTCGCAGGCGCGTGCCGCTCTGCGTTACTTTGACGCATGCGCGTTTCAGCGCACACGGCGTCCCTGCGTCATGAAGAGAGGCAGACGCAGTGCTGTCTAAGTAGCATAGTCGACGCGAAGGGCAGCAAGTCGCATTTCGCGCTGGTTGCCGCCGGACTGCGCCGGCGGGCGCTGGTCGCGCCGGTTGCGCCTGGCGTCACACTATAGAGTTCTTGCGTTTTGCTAGCGTGGCGTCGCTGCGGCCATCCTGCGCTTGCTTCAACGTTGCGTCGGAGTATATTGGGCCCTTGATGACGCACTCGCCATCGTTGCGCTCACTCCACATGTACCAAATTACGTCGCACGGGAAGTGAATAGACGACGAAGGTAAATGACACGTCCAAACCTGATAATCATAATAATCGGTTCATGTAAAACATGACTACATGTTTCGCTCATAATGTTCTCGCGGCCGTGTCACTACAGTTCCACATATACCAAGTTTGGCATTATGTGGCGTAAATGGACGGTGAATGTAAATGACATGTCCAAATATGATAATCATGATATGGAGTGCATGTAAAACATGACTACATGCTACGCTCATAGCGCGCTCGCGGCCGTTTCGCTAGCATCCATGTATACTAAAGTTCGTATCAGGTGACGTTAATAGATGACGAAGGTAAATGAAACGTCTAAACATGTTAATCATTATATGGAAGTCATGTGCTGCATAGTTCACCTCCGCCTTTTAACTTTGTGCTGATTTTAAGTGACCTATCACTCTTCTTTATTCGTGCTTCGCATATCATCGATTCGCACTGTACGTGGGATCTGGTAATTTTGTTATTTTTTTCTTGTTAATCTTTTGTTCTGTCATATGCTTCACTTGTTCGGTGGGTAACTGTAGGTGTATTCCGCTGTTGTAGCCTTTTAATTTGTTTGTTCTGGTTAACAGCTTTTTGCTAACCTTTCAATTGTTCAGAGATGTTTCGGTTTGTAGACATGTTGTTAGCATTGCTAATTTCCGCTTTTACGATGTTGTGGCCTTCTATTTTGTTCTGCTTACCTTTTTGCTCTGTCGCATGCTTTAAATGATGGGTGGTTAAGTGCCGGAGCTTTTACGGTACTATGGCTTTTTTTATTTTTTGAAATCATAAGCGCGCTCTGTAGGCATTGTAGATGGGTTTGCTCACGCATGTTTTGCTCCTGCGCTTCGACTGTGCATGTCATCCGGATGGATTGAAGCCGGATGGACACCGTGACGTCCCAAGGAGCTTCGCCCTCAAATTATTTGTGCACACAGTTCGCAATCTACTAGCCAGGCAGTCATTGTGAATAAACGTAGCAGAACTGACTCAGTCAGCTGACGGCCTCCTCCCGTCGGTGCAGGTGACATCGGGCGGCCGCCTGGAGCCCCCCGCGAACTGCCCGGGACCTGTGTACCACGTGATGACGCAGTGCTGGCACGCCACGCCAGAAGAACGTCCCTCGTTTGGCACCATTCTGGAGCGGCTGGGCTACTGCATCCAGGACCCGGACGTCGTGTCGGCCCCGCTGCCCGTCTTCCACCGGCCACCCTCCTTGGAACGCGACGCCACCGTCATGAGGCCGCCCAATGCCGATAACGTGTGCTTGCAGGTGGGCACAACTATTCCGAAGTATTGTGCATGCATACACTTCTTTCAGGATACGGAAGCTCGGGGGAAGACACTTGAAATGCACAAAAAATTGGCGCCTTATCTGCATGTTGCACTGCAAATACCGTGGAAAGACATAGACTTCCGTTAGCAGAGACTGAATAAAACGTTGATTAGATGTGAAACAGCTCTTTGACTAGCCTGTGTAACGCTGTACCTCCGTCCTTACTGTGCTCCCCTGGCCGCAGGTGTTGGGGCGCTGCCAAGTAGATCCCACCTTTCCTCGTAGTGCGCGCGCGTTGACGTCGCTCTCTCCCTAGCATGTCGCTGCCCGCCACGTGTCTCTCTCGCTTCACCCTCTTCAACGCTCGCAACCTTCGAGCGCACATGGAGTGAACAGTCTTTCTGCGATGAAACTTACAGGAAACCCAACCCGCCTCCCATGTCATTGTGTCTCAAACAAACGCTCACTCGTAAACTACAAAAGCCACAAAACGTCGAAATCGGAAAAGGCAGAGCAGTACAGAGCCAGAGAGCCACGTTTCTGCTCTCTGTATTTGTTTCTACTGCTCTGCTTTCTTTCTTTGATTTTGACATTTTGTTATCTTTGTAGTTTACTAACCATCTGCCAACTTGCCCGACAAGCAACTCTTCTAAACGTTCACTCAAGTAAACGCTACACCGAGTTTCGCTTCAAACCGTTATTCCTTCACCCGCGTTGACGCCCGCTTCAACTGAGTCAGCACCGTGCGCAGCGCTGCTGCTTCGCATTCTGTAAGGGTTTCCTCCGGGAGATGGTCCATATTTTTTTTATGTTCTGCACGAGCAAATCTTTGAATATAGGATTCTGATGGCGCTGCGTGAGGCATGAGTAATCTTGGAAAACGAAAAGATGGCCTACGATATAGCGAGTGCGGAGTGCACGCGCGATCTCGGAGGCCATGATTTGTAGAATGCAAGGACACGGGTAGGTGGCAGCACCACATTGTCTTAGCGAAGCGTAGGAAACAACCGCCTTTTCGTGTATAGAGGCACATTGTCAGCACAGCGTAAGAAACGCTACGGTACATGTAACTACTTTTGTATGCTTTTTCTAGTACAAAGAAACGCACCATAGAATATTGACGTGTTGATATATGTGCCTCAGATAAGCGCAATATTTGCCTTTGAATTGCTAATGCGCACAAGTATGAACACAGAAATCACATTAACATTGGTGGGCGTGGAGGAAATGGTTTAACTTTAGCCATTTCAGTTGACAGACAGACAAGACGACCAACAGACAGATAGACAGAGAGAGAAAGAAAGAGAAAGTACTTTATTGGACACAATGGGCCGGCAATTTGGTCTCGGTGGTTTTAGGTGGCGGCTCGTAGTCCCTGGACACGGGCGGCATCCTCGGCCTGCCCGACGGCCCAGAGTTGGTCGTTCAGCTATGGGCTTTGGAAGGCCGCCTCCCAGAAGTCCCCCGTGGCTTCCGCAGCCGGGGCGGTGGCAGGAACGTGTGAGCTCGAGGCTCTCTGTGATTTGGTATTGACGGCCGCTATAGGCGCATCGCCGCGCGTTTTCATGACTGCTGTCACCGGTATATTCCCAGAGCATGTGGCTCAGCGTTGTTCTGTGTCCGCACGCTTTACACATATCGGTGGGGTATAGGTACAGGAGGAGGTGGCGTAGAACGACCGGGCTAGGGTAGGAGTGGGTGTGGAGTAAGCGAAAGCTTACGGCATCGTGCCTGTTTAATTTCTTGTGCGGTGGCGGGAACCTACGCCTTTCGAGCCTATAGTGTTGGGTGATGTCATGGAACGTTGTAAGATGATCACCCCATCACCATTCTGAATCTTGTTGTTGCGTGCCTATCTTGTGTCTTGATTCAGCAGATGCATCGCCCCGCTCTCGGAGTCAGGGGCGGCGGCCTCATAGTGGGTCGTGGCTCGGCGAGTGAGACCTCGAGCCGTGGCGTGGGCCGCCTCATTTCGTGCGAGTGGAATGCTGATGTGTGCCGGGGTCCATAGGGGAAAATCGTTGAAATTTGGCGTTGTGAGCGCAACGTCGAGTTTACATCTTCGCACATTTGAAGGCTTCGCGCGAGATACGGCCGCGCGCGAAACTGCGGACTGCCGCCTGCGAGTCGCTTATCACAATCTCTGAATGGGGCGCTGCGGCCAGTGCTAATTAAGGCTATCGCGGCTTTTTCGGCCGCCTCCGTGTGTCCCGTCGTCACCGTAGCGCTCGCAAGGCATTGGCGCTGATGGTCAACGACCACAGCTGCGTGGGCTCTTCTCCCTTCTCAATATCTCACGGCCTCTACGTATACCACGTCTGTACTGTTACCAAACTTATTTTGAAGCTGTCTAGCACGCTCGTTACGCCGTCCGATGTGGTGCGTCTGATGCATATTACTAGGAATCGGCGGAACGATCAAGCGGTGGCGGAGTGAGGCAGGGACCTCTACCTTTTCTCCTTGCTGAGTGTGATATCTGATGCCCAGCGACTCAAGGACGTGACGACCCGTCTTTGATTTTGTTAAGCGTTCGTACTGCACAACGTCATGGGCCTCAATTAACTCGTCGAGAGAGTTGTGAAGTCCAAGCTTAGAAATCTTTCGGTACTCGCGTTAATCGGGAGGCCAATCGCTCTCTCAAGCCTTTCGTATCATGCAGTTGATTTTGTTTTTGTTTTCTGAGGTAAGGGGCCTTACCACTTGAGGTAAGGGGCAACGTATGTTATTCGGCTTATCGCGTAGGCCTGCACGAGACGGATCGCGCAGTGTTCGTGCAGACCGTTACGTCTATTCGTGATACGGCGCAAGAGTCTGATCGCGTCGTCTACTGAACGACGGAGTCGGCGCACAGTCTCACTATTATGGCCATCTGCCTGTATGTGTAAACCCAGCATTCGAATTCTGTCTTCGTGTGGTATGGAAGTGCCGTATGCCAACAGAACACGTATTTTGAGGGATTCTCTTTCCTCGCCACGTGGGGTTCTGTGGCCTCTACTTGTGGGATTGTAGACTAAAAGTTCGGACTTGGTTTCTGAGCACTCGATGCCCGTTCCTTGCTAGTATTGAACTTTGTCTACTACCGCCTGTAGCGTTCTCTAGACGTGATCGTCACAACCTCTCAGTAAATACAGTCCTCTTGCATGTTTTGCCAAGGCGCTGCGATTGCATTCGATACGAACGCAAGGTCTGGCAGCGTGTCCGCACTCACTCTATTGCCCCTGCGTGTTGGATCGGTGGGGTTCGCTACGAGTTCTAGCCGTAGGTCTTGCGAGTCTTCCCAAAGGTGTTTGCATTTAGGCGTTTCACGCATGTATCCTAGGTCCCGTGCACCGCATTAAAATCACCCGCGGACTAGCAGATGTTTCCCGCTAACGGCCGTGCTAGCCTTCTGGAGCAGCTCCCCAAATCGGTGCTGCAACGTGGGTTTACTGTATACGTTAAGGACAAACACTCCTCGCCCACGTCTAGGATTTAATTCTACGAAAGCGTGTGGTATATTTGTATACTCAAGTTCACGCTGAGCCACTGTGACGTTACGACTAACAAGCACGGCGACGACAGGTTCTAGAGGCGGTGATGGCAGCAACCGCGGGCGCACTGACGACGTGAGCGGAACGCCCCGCCGCCCGCGCCCCGCGGCAACCCCCGGCGACCCGCCATGTGCCGAGCAGGATGTCACCCGTTGTTTTCTCTGTCCGCTATCTGTCGCTGCCACGTTTATGGCTTTGTAACCAGCTAGTTTTGCCGGATAGTTTGTCTCCAGTAAAATGATAACATCTGATTTCATTTCGCGGCTACGAGATAGCCCCGCTTCCTTCTATAACCCCGGCAGCTCCACTGCCAGATCTTATACTGCTGTTTGCTAGTGCTAGTGCCATTATGTGCGTGTCTAGCCATGGTGATAGTCCCATTCAGTTTAATCCATTGCCATCAAGGCAACTTGGGTTCGACTGAATTTGCGTCTCTGCTCTGTCAGCGTGTTTTGCTGTTGTTTACTTGATTGCTGTCTAGCGTACGGCCTGTTCATCGTTCTAATTGGTCTGCCCAACAGACAGAGAAAAAAAATCCACTGAAGTATTTCAAGAACGATCATTGTCCTCAAAATTAATTGAATAGAGACCGTCACTAGAGTGAATGTTTCAAGAAATTGTCTTCGCTGGCGCACCCTTAAGTGTTTCAATGTCAACCGAAATCGTGACCACTGTACGCGAGGCCCCATGTATCGTTTTCCACCGCTAGAGCCAGTTGGGAGAAGAAGGTTTAGACAAAAATTAACGCTCGTCTGTTTTGCAGTCACCAACCTGACTGCGTCCACTGCAGGGCCGAAGCCTGTCCCATACCTGGCCGAATAACCCGGCTTTGTCTTTGTTGTGGCCCTGTTAACCGCCCTTGCTTCACAGTCTCATCTCGCTACAGGCCGTCTTTAGAATGTAGAATGATTTTATTTTTAATGGCCTGTGCCTATCTGTACTTGCGGACAAGAGCCAGTAGACCTATAACAGGCGTTGCTCAGCGACACTTGTGGTATGTTGACGAGAATGACCTGACAAATACAATAAGTGTAGTTAGCTGGTCGCTGCCAAGAGAAAAGTGTAGAAAATGGTTTGCACACCAGCACTGACCTCCGCTGCAGGACAATTCCAACAGCCAGTGATCTAAAATCACCGCTTCACTCAAGCAGTGAATCCCACCTTGCGCCGGCAAACTTCCTGAATTCATGTTGGTCGTCGCTGGCTGCAGCTTCACCTATTTGAAACCCCCTGTATCACTCTAATACAATAGGAATTGTTCGTCGTACTCAATGCATGACATTGGCATGCATGCCTTCTGGTATTGTAGAGGCGTTTACTGGACGGCAGTCAGCAACATTATACGCCCCGCCGTGGTGGTCTAGTGGCTAAGGTACTCGGCTGCTGACCCGCAGGTCGCGGGTTCGATTCCCGGCTGCGGCGGCTGCATTTCCGGTGGAGGCGGAAATGTTGTAGGCCCATGTACTCAGATTTGGGTGCACGTTAAAGAACCCCAGGTGGTCAAAATTTCCGGAGCCCTCCACTACGGCGTCTCTCATAATCGAATGGTGGTTTTGGGACGTTAAACCCCACAATCAATCAATCAATCAATCAATCAATCAATCAGCAACATTATACGGTACAGCGACAGTCAAGAGAAAGCAGGTACGCTCAGTGCAAACGGCGTTCTTTGAAGAAGGAGCTGAACAGGACGGCTCTCTAAAAGGTGTCTATGCACAGTGCAACCCAATACACAGTTCTAAAGCTTCGTGACATTATTTATGTTGACTATAATATCGGCCGCACACGAAGTGCACTCGGTCTCTGTTGCAAAAGTACGCACACTGACATGCAAAGCCTTTCCATCCCCCTTTTATTGCTCACCATGTGTACGGATGGAATAACTTAAACAATGAGCTACATTCAAGTGTACGCTGCTGCTTTAGTATCTTGCACATGTCTGTCATTAGCAAGCTGGGAACGACTCTTGAGAACTGTTCCGGCAAACTGGTACTTATAAAATCGCGTCGTGTTGGCGCGAACCACAGCACTATCACATTTTGCCGTCACGGTATTGCTCCGGTTGAGATGAGATCCCATCATGGAGCTGCATTTTAGAAGTTATTTGCAAAAATTAATAGTTATTATTCATTGTACAACAGCACTATGCTATAGCATGAACAACTCTCTTTCATGTAAAATAGCCATCATTTGAAGTACTTACCGATCGATACGCAAAAATGAAGGACTATGTAATGCACACACTTTCGTTCCTATATAACGTCTGCAATTCGGACTTCAAAACTTATACCAGAGCCAACATTACTATTAGCGACCACATTTGTAGCGACATTATGCGGTGACTTCGAGCTATTTCTCATGGCCGTTTTCATGACCACGCAGAACAAATGTGCTTCACTCCTTCGGATAAGTGTTGAACGTTTTGAGTGCTGTGTAGATGTACAGATTGTTCATTCTAATTTACTTGTATGAGTAGTGTTGTCCAATGCACTAAAGTAGTTCTCACGCATTCAACATCACAAATATTTTTAAATTGATGCATGCATTGCATCAAAATATTTTTGGAGGGCGTAATTAAGAAATCCTAATTCAAAGATTACTGCGCCCGCATACCCGTAGTCTGGCGCCATTGCCCCACACTGCATGCGTCTCACAAACTTGCCTTCTACGCAGGTCTACCGGTCCGAGAGATCCGAGGTCCAGTCTCCTGGCTCGGAGGACTACCTCATCCCCATGCCGTCGTCAAACTACTCCCTGAGCACGGAAAGAACCGAACTGCAGTCGGCCTCTTCCTCGCTCGACTCCATGGACAAGTTGCTGGGCGGAAACGGCAACCAGCCGACCGTCAGGGCTCCCGCGCCCCCCGAGAAGCCGACGACATGGGAGACAAGTTTCACCACGACGCCTCCCGACGAACTGCCTATCCGGACACCCCTGCAGCAGCCCTACTCCAACGTGGCGCTCAACTGTTAGTGGGCGCGACTTCAGCGAAGGAACTGGGAAAGACGTGCCGTATAGGTAGATGACGTGGCACGCCATTCGCCGCTTCCTCTTTTACCGCTCGTCGAAAAATTGCCTCCCTTTCTTGACATGGCACAGGTGAAACAGACTGGCTTCGTTTGGACGTGTTCTTCTAGTCGGGTCATGAAGTTGAAAAAAAAAGAGTGTGAGTTACTTCTTAGATGTCGTGAAGCTTCGCAAAGTATATGGGTGATGTCGACCGGGGGGAGGTGTATGCCGGTTTACTTAGTCATGTTTTTCGCAGATTTGGTGTGAACAGTCAATCTTGTTCTTGCATTGGTTTTTAGGGAGTGAAGTAGAGAGACTAGGTGGTACCCGTTACTGTTGACTTTTATCGCTTAGTCTGCAGATGATTACTCGAATGTCAATACAACCATGATGGGTGAGGATGGCAGAGACAGCATGATGATGATTTGGACCATGCTATTACGCCGAGTGTGAGCGAAAGACTTGCCGTTTGACTTTGAGGTCGATCAGTTGTTTAAAGCTCTCGCCCTTTTCATTCAAAGACATACCTGGTTGGCGTGAGTTCTGTCCAACGCATTGGTGCTGCGATGGAAACCATATTCACAAAGGAGATGGTCAGCGAGGGCCACAACAGGCATTCATTCACCTGTGACTTCGCTAGCAATCGCTGAATCGAAGAAACGTGAATGAAAAAGAAGGCATAGAGCTTCTCAGCGCATGTTCACACCTTATGACAACAGCTATTCCCGAATAGCAATGCCTGCGAGTTCTATGTTGCAGCTCGAAAGGCGGTCTTCTGGTCGGAGCTAGGACAAGATACATCAGGCAGGAAGAAGAGATAAAGCGAGACCTCTCATTTTTTTCATAATGCGGGCCAAATGCACATCAAAGTCATGTCGGTGCACATTTGCATGCCATTTTCTCCTCACCGCTAGAGCAAATATGGTCAATGTTCATCGTCGTATGTGTACCCTTCGTTCCTTGAGATGTATACGAACATTTATCTCAGGATGCCTGATCTCGGAATGAAATCGTAGTTGTGCCGCTTACGGAAGCGTACGCGCTTCAACTATTTTCTGGGGTATATGCATGGGAGTCATGCCGTGAGAACCCGTGCAAATATGAATGAGATATGCTTTGGGGGAGTTCATGAACTCCTGACTGGGCACCCGGCTTGAATTCATCGCTAGATGTGGCTTGCATACAACTTCGTACGCTTCACTTCAGAGAAAACATGAATGTTCGAGGCTGTTGCAGGGCGCAGAGCAAAGTGTAAAGCTTGGTTAGACTGGCGAATCGCATGCGTATGACGTGTTATCGAACAGTTCCTGAACATGCGTGTCACGCTAAGGTCCTTCCCTCGAATTAACCTATTTCTAGTAGGTTGGTAGCTTGGATCCGTGTCGGGAAGGCTTAGTTTGGAAGAAAAAAGTATAAACTGTGGGCTCCACTTGTTACCACTCTACAACAGGGGAAGAAGTTGAAGTATAGCTGCTCGCAAATGTGTCCCACAGTTGTCTCCAAAGCAGGGTCTTCAGTTCCTTAAAACGTACCCCTTTTAATTTTATCACTGAATCCAGATGCATCGAAGGCTATTCTGTTTGTTAGTCCATGTTCTTGCAATTCCTGATTTTTGTGACTGATCTAATTGTGTAAGCAGTTAAGTGAAGTCTACCTTTCAACTCGAAAGTCCCGTAGCCTCATGCAGGCTCGTTATAGAGCCAAGCCATACCCTACGTCAACAGGAGCGTCACAGTGCGGTTATACGAAAGCGACAAAGATTGTTGATGTGGTAGATCTCACCGTACACAGTTATTGCTTTTGTTTGTTGTTGTTGTTGTCGGTGATCAACCAGAGGTCAAAAGTGATTCAGACGCGCGGTTGTTACTTTATTGCGTCCTTCAAAATCGTACGTTCCTGCTTGGCTTCCTCGGATTTCTTCCCTTCTTACAGATGATGCAAGTGAATCTTAGTTTCGCTTGCTGCACTTCAGAAGCTCTTTGTAGTAAGCTGCCATTTTGTGATCTCAGGGATTTCTGGGTAACGTTTTAATTATTTTAGATATATTTTAAGTCATAGGCTAGCATCACGGCGTGATGTCAGCTCTGACGATTGCAGCCCCACTGAAGCTTATTCCACGTCGCTTCGGCTGTTCCCTGAAAGAGCTGCACAAAGCTTGTTACCCGTTATCATACTTAATTACAAAGCTGCCCCGCGTGAATGAGGTCATCATTATGTCGAGAATCACTTTCTCTTTGAGGAAATTAGGAGAAAGCGTATGATGTTTGCCCCTCCTTTCAAAAGTTATGAATTCACTGTAGCTTCTCGATTTGTTGTGTTACGTTAACCTGTTGGTAAAATGGACAAAACAAGTTCATAGTACCTTATGTTCAAGAACTTACGCACGCTTACATAAAAAAAGCCCTAGGTTTAGCATCCATTTTAGATTTAGAATTTAGAGAAACAACCAGTAGGGTCATTTATTTCCAATCTTTCACATTTCCGTTGTGGAGTTGCATTATTTTGCCCTTGTACATTGTATACGTTGTACTTGCAGACAAGTCTCAGCGACGCGTTCCACAGCGTTTGTGTTGGAGTATCTATGATGAACAAAATCTATCATGAACAAAACCATCCCGTCTTGGTAAAACTGAGAGATGACGTTTCTGGCTTTAACTTCCTTCGCTATGATCCAGCGAACTACTTCGCATAAACTTGAAAGAGTACATCGATGTGCCAAACGTATTATTCATCCGCATAGGTAACAAGTTCACATCGTGCGAATGTAAACTGTAACGGAAAAAATGCATGTATAAACATGAAGTTACCAGTAATTTTTTGAGGGCTTGTGTTCTTGCATTGATGTTTCTCGGTAGGTTTTGTTACACTAGTAGATATACCGGATGTTCTTGTAGAATCGATTAGTTAGTAAACCAAGGTTCCTGTTCTAGTCATGTATTGATATATGTGTGTTACTTAAAACGTCGTCTCTGCACTGTACACGTCCAATAAGCACTGTAAAAAGTCGGAGCGTGATAAAATCAGATTACTGTTGTGCGTACATCTGCTCCAGCGTAGCCCAAGAAGAACAAAGCTTGTCCACGGGTATCGATTGAATGGAGCCAGTGTGGTATTTATTTATGTACGTTGCACGTGTGTTAAATGTCACCTCGTTATGTAATTGTGCGCAGAGATTGGGCTTTCAAGATGACATTAAGGTCGCATCGAATGGGAACGTACTAAGCTTGTTTTGTTTCAAAGTCGTTCGCATGTTTGTTGGGAATATGCCGCTCGTGTGCATGCCTAGTGTAGCGGAAAGTGTGAAAAGTGGTCGCTTTCAAGTATAGGTACTGGTGTCAATGTCGTTACGTTGCACATTTCTCGTCACATCAACGCTTTCGGTGGTTATGCATGGCAGCCTGTATTCTCTGCATTACCAAATGAAGCATGGTTTTTTTTTTGTGTACACAGTTGCGAGTTTCCTTGTTTAGTATGCCGGGTGATGCTTTTATAGGCACCTTGATATTTGGTGCCATTAAGTTAAATGCCGTGCCACCTGTTTGATGAGCAGACGGAGAGTGAAGTTTGAATATGAAACCGTAATTACGATTAAGGTGGTAGACCGTTCCCCAAAAAGAGGTGCTCTTTTCTAGGAATTTGCTGGCTCTGATAGCGAGTATTCTATTCCCGGAGGTCACCACAATCACAACTGCTGTACATTAGTTGCATCGTCGTACCGTGCACTGAGTCATCCCTAGCCACGTGCCGACATTGATGAATCATGCTGTTGTTACACAGTAGACGAAGGGCCGCATCTGTTCGCTGTACCCGTATGCGCGAAGCCTTTGTTTGCTGTGTCCCGCCCAAGTGCCACGGGGCGTTCAGTATATAGCTCGGCGAAGTTCATCACAACTTTTACGTTGCGTGAAATCAGTGCCAAATCATCACTACGACTTTCACGTTTACTGACTAACTTTACAGTGATGTCTAGTCACCAGTTCACCTGTACCGTAAACCACGAAACCATCCTGTATAGTGAGACGGTGATGTTCAACCCACTGCATTCGTAGAACAGTTTTTTAAATTATTATTTCTGCTGATCCTTCTTTCATACTGCACAAAACGAGACACTCACAAATTCTTCGACACCTAAGCCGGACAGGCTACAATTGCTGCCTAAACACGGAATCCCTAGCTAAGTGCAGGGGCCGTGTGCAGAGTGATCAAAGTGGCGACGCACGTTTCGCAGAGTCCTCATCGACAGGGTGCTGAGATCTATTTTTTTTCTTTTTTGCTTCCAGGTGCTACCGGGTGTTTTCGATCCGATTCGCCATGTGCTGCTGTCCGCACTGCTTCTTTCTTCTCTGAATTGAGAATGACCACAGCATAGAAAAATATACATGTGTGTTCAGGAACAACGTCAAGTAGTCAAAGTCAAACCATGACGTGTCCGCTGCGTCAATAGAGTGTAACGCTGTCGAGCAGGCAGTTTTCAACAGTAATGCATTTGTATTGCAGGTACATTTTACGCTACGCATATCTCAATTCTCGCAGATGGCATCGAACGCATTGCGTTCTATTCGACCTGGGCTCTCTCCGAATATGTCATGAAAGTTCATCCGCTTCTGCGCATCAATCATCACATGTGGCAAGCCATATCGCGTCTGCAAAGAGAGATAACATGCAAGTGTTTATTCTATTGCCCGTGAGCAAATCATCCTGTGACCTGCTGAGTGCGTCTCAATTACTGTTTAGTGCATCCTGTGACGCACTAAACACTAATTATGTTTCTGGGCAACGTTTCTTCAAACCAAAAACAAACGGAGCCAAGCTAAAGTAGTATAGAACTGTGCACAAGTGTTCAAGGTTCGGCGAGTTGGTTGGTCGTACTTGAACTGGAATAGCGCATTGCGTTCAAGAAATGGCCGCCCAGACCGACACGAGAGCCGCAACGCGCTATTCTAATTCCAGTAGAATCGTGCGCAACGTCACGCGATCCAGTGATGCATCACGGTCAACTTAGCGGCGTGATGGGAAAGGAACGCGGGCATCTCTCTCCGTGCAGCGTTTTCTATAGTTAGGCCTGTGTTAGATATACGCTTCTTCGTGCTTTCATCATTGTTGTGATCGTGCTCGAGACTTTGTGTGGTGAATCGTCTATTGTCGACCCCTGCTCACTAATTTCGTTGCTGTTACGGCGCAGCCGCCGTTCCTTTTTGTACATACGCGCGAAGTCTGGCATAGAGTCTGTGAATGCGTACACACTACAGTTTGTGGTGAAAGTCGTCAAATACCTTTTATCATTGAGATCTATGTATACTCGTACGTGTAGCGTGCCAACTGCTCACACATTTCTCGTGATTACACACACGCATGCACACACACAATCACACACACGCACGCACGCACACACACACATATACATACATACATACATACATACATACACACACACACACATACATACATACATACATACATACATACATACATACATACATACATACATACATACATACATACATACATACATACATACATACATACATACATACATACACACATACATACATACATACATACATACATACATACATACGTACGTACATACATACATACATACATACATACATACATACATACATACATACATACATACATACATGCATGCATACGTACATGCATACATGCATGCATACGTACATGCATACATGCATGCATACGTACATACATACATACATACATACATACATACATACATACATACATACATACATACATACATACATACATACATACGCACATACATACATACATACATACATACATACATACATACATACATACATACATACATACATACATACTACATACATACATACATACATACATACATACATACATTATACATAATACATACATACATACATACAGAAATGCGCATTCACAACGGTGGCATGAATACCTGTGATTGATGGAGAGATGCCCCGCAAGTGTATGCAGCCAGTCATGTGACAGTGTCGTGTGGCTTCTTTCGGAGGGTTCATCGTCACATCTGTGGTTGGGGCCTACGCGCGACTCTTGTGCGTACACGAGGAAAAGTCCGCACTGCCGCACTGTGTATATATATTTATGTGTGCGTATCGCGTCACATCGCACACTCAATAGAAGCCGTGGTGGCGCCCAATTCGAGGTCATGCTCCTTGGTGTGAGCGTGTACTTAATAGAAGATCATATGATTGTGTCATGCTGGATGAAAATTGCTTGTCATAACTTTGTAGGAGGAATGCGTGTTGAAAGTTTACTCGCAGGAAACGAATTAATGCGCCTCTCCGGTATTGGCATTGAATAAAATGAAAACGTATCTAGCTTTCCTTTTCCTTCTTCCTTTTCATAAATAGATTCTCCCACGAAAGAACGTTCTTTGGAGAATCAAATTATGTTTACCGGCTTCGACTGCCTCCGCAAGCAACATACTGTTATATAGAACAAGGTGCATTTTACAATACCCCTCCCCTCCCCCCCCAAAAAAAATAATCAGTCAGAAATCAAAATAATTTTAGAGACATGTCTTAAGAAGGGCCCCTCGACAATTGAAGAATAAGATCACGTGGTAAACAAATTAAAATGTTCTGCATCGTTCGTACGTGGTTTAAAAGTAATAAACAAACAATACCAGTTTTTTTTTTTTTTTGATGAGCTTGCGTGAAAGCTTTTTGTTCTTGCGAGACATCACCATTCCTGCCGTGCAGTTGAGAATTCCGTTTACTGTTTGCTCGTTCGTTGCATAAACGAAACACTTCATCCTTGATCTGAGTGCGTAAGCGTTCACTCAGTACAGGCGTAAGTTTAGGTGTAAGTGAGCAGCGGAATCGTCGAACGGAAATTGCAGTCGCGAACCTATATCGCAGTGATTTTTTTCCTCCAGAGTACACCTAGTTGGCTTAGTGAAGTTTTTTTTTTAGTTCGAGCAGTGACTGAATTGACAGTTATTTTTTCCTTCTGTGAAGGCACGCCCATCTCATTTTCTCAATCGCTCCATGGTACATACACATCATAACAAGAATCGAACGTCGTATTTTATTGTAATAAAGTGGAAAGTCTATTTGTTAGTGAGAACCCAATACAAACTTGGCATAATATCCAGAAATTATTCAAGGCTGTGGTAACTGGGAAGACACCGTGAAGCCCAAAGTGGTGCCATACTGCTATCTGCAGTTCCCTTCAAAGTTTGGCATAGTTCTACGCATCTTTTTTTCCCCGGCAAAAATGGGTAATGATTGCCAACTATGACAGATGAGTGAGGAGGATATGTTATTTTTCTATGACGAAATAGTGAGTCTCAATACTCAAGCCGAAATTATTCCACGCCTTGCAAGCGTGTATGTCTCTTTCCCCACCGAGGACAAACGGAAAGCCCATGCCAGAAATAGAAGGGCAAGCAAGTTGTGGTAACTCATGTCACAGTATTTCCCGATGGAACAATAAAGGGTCATTCCGTCGATATTCAGCTCTTGTAGGAAGTACATGAATTCGCCTCATACTTGAGATTGTGTCTTCCGAATAAGTCCACGTTACTACGAATTCACATGTTACGTTAGAGCCACCTTCATCTGCCCGTATTTGAAAGCAGTCCTGCTTTTTAAAGTGAAAAACTCAGAGGCTGTAAAAGGTGTTCATATGCATAATGCATAATCACTGAATATTCTTTCGTGAAAGCTATGGCAAAAACTTTGGTAAAACCCTTTCGGGAAACCCTCTGGTAAAAACGCAATACTAAGTCGAAAATGATTCACGAACAGCAAAGTTACAAAGTCGTTCAAAGCCAAAAGCCAGAAGTTTTTAGACCGATTCAGATGTCTGTACTGTCATTTACGTGTCAGCTCAGCCACAATGGTTGCAGCTGTAAAAAAACTAGCTCCGGAATCCTCTCAAGCTTTTTTAAGAAATGGTCATGGACATTCGAAGCGTTTTGCAGGCCACCATCAATGCAGGCCACCAGAGAAAAATATACCTTCAACGTTAGTGGCAAACTTACTTCTTGAGGTCTCAAAAACTCGCTGTGGAATTCCCAATATTTCTCGTCATCTCATGTTTTAAGCAAGCACATATTACTCGAAGAACACAGATTCAAACGGAAACCTATCAAGCACAGATGAAAGTTCGGTTTGACTATCTCAAGATGTGTTTGATGGTTCCTGGCAGCTGAATAACACTTATCCAACACGTTCCGAAATTCTGAACTGTCATCGAGCAGCCGAGCATTAGAGGTCCGTAGGGAGCTAACAGAGACGGTTCTTCACTACGCTGACATTTCTAATATGTCACGTATTGTAAGAAGCAAAAGTGTTGCAGCACTTCATTGTTCTGAGGCATGTGCAACCAGTTCATCGAAACCGCATAATTTGCAGTTACTTGTACATTTGCGGGTTTCTTTCGGGGGTTTTCATCTCTCATCTTGTATAATGAGCAGCAAATTTTCGCGGCTGCAAAGTGTGGATATATTTGCTTGACCTTAGGCAAGATGACGTATGCAAATACAATAGTCTTCTGCGTAGAATATCCGGATTTTCGTGAAGAAAAATAGTAGGAGAAAAAAGAAGTGAGAGCCGGAAGTATAATCGGTGCAAACCAACCAGAGAGAAGTGAAAAAGTGTACTTCTTTTTCTTTTTTTTTGTGACATGTGATCACTGATTGCTTACACCGAAACTCTGGCGGTTGCGGCTGGGATATTTACTGCTTCGATGTACCTTGAGGACGTTTATTCTCGCGACGATGTCCCAGAAGTATACGAGGACAGCTTATGCCTGTAAATACGTAGGTGCTGCTCAGCGTAGTAGATTTGTGTTGCTTGTTTCGTTTCTTGTGATATCTTCGTTTTAACGTTTCTTGTGGTTGGTGAACAATAAAGAAGCATGTTCATTACCCAAGGCCTGCTGCTCAATTCGTGCTCATATTACCAAAAAATCAAGTATGATAAATGAGAGCTGATTGCTCTAGGACACGCAATGGTTGGTCATAGCAGAGCTGGTGGCCACCTAGCTCGTCTTGGCTTGGCTAAGCTTTTACCCTCTCACCTCTCTTTGCCTTGCTTTACAATACCCATAGAGTTTCCTAAAGTTAACTAGAGGGGACTCCGGCGCTGCGATCGTTCAGCGACTGAGGGAATAATGGGTAGTACACACATTTGCCTAGTTTTCGTACTTGCGGGTCTCGAATCATACTTGTGGCTTCGTTTGTTGTTGCGGTTCGGTTTCATTTTAAGAAAAGAACGAACCCTTTTGAACTTCGCCACCCCATCTGAAATGGTAAGCCTAAATGAATAAAGTGACGCAGGGCAACCACGGAACATATGCTGAGTTTCGTTTCGTGACAGAACAGTTTTAAGCCACGCGAACACAAACGAAGCCAGAAGTACGAAGATTAGACAAATCAGTG